TTTCGTTTCTTTCTATAATTACAGAAAAATAGAGAAATTGAAATTTTGAAAAATTCAGAAATTGAGTTTAAAATTAGGAAAATTTTAGTTTCTTCTTAAAATTCGGAGAATTCTAACTTGATTCTAAAATTCCGGAGTGAAATGAACTTTAAATTGTTGATATAAATTTTGAAACTGCACGTGGTCAGGGTTGCAAGAATTTGAAATTTTCAAAAATTCCCAGATTTAAGAAAGGCATTTTTTTCCATTTTAGTAGCGGAAATTAGGAAATTTTAGTTTCTTTCTAAAATTACAGAAAACTACAGAATTTGAAATTTTGAAAAATCCAGTAATAAAAAATATCGTGATAGTTTGTTTTTCATTTTAGTCAAGGAGTTTGAAATTTGGAAAATTTTAGTTTATTTTAAGATTTCGGGGAAAAATGAAACTCGGAAAATTTTAATTTGGTTTTAAAATATATAAAAAAAAAAATTTAAAGTTGTTAATATACATTTTGAAACTGCGCTTGATCAGGGTTGCTAGAAATTCTAATTTTCAAAAATTCCGAGACTTAAAAAAACGATCTTTTTCATTTTAGTAGCGGAAATTAGAAAATTTTCGTTTCTTTCTATAATTACAGAAAAATAGAGAAATTGAAATTTTGAAAAATTCAGAAATTGAGTTTAAAATTAGGAAAATTTTAGTTTCTTCTTAAAATTCGGAGAATTCTAACTTGATTCTAAAATTCCGGAGAAAAATGAACTATAAAGTTGTTGATATTAATTTTGAAACTGCACGTGATCAGGGTTGCAAGAATTTGAAGTTTTCAAAAATGCCCAGATTTAAAAAAGGCAATTTTTTCCATTTTAGTAGCGGAAATTAGGAAATTTTAGTTTCTTTCTAAAATTACAGAAAACTACAGAATTTGAAATTTTGAAAAATCCAGTAATAAAAATATCGTGATAGTTTGTTTTTCATTTTAGTCAAGGAGTTTGAAATTTGGAAAATTTTAGTCTATTTTAAGATTTCGGGGAAAAATGAAACTCGGAAAATTTTAATTTGGTTTTAAAATACCTGAAAAAAAAAAATTTTAAAGTTGTTAATATACATTTTGAAACTGCGCTTGATCAGGGTTGCTAGAAATTCAAATTTTCAAAAATTCCAACACTTAAAAAACGATCTTTTTCATTTCAGTAGCGGAAATTAGAAAATTTTCGTTTCTTTCTATAATTACAGAAAAATAGAGAAATTGAAATTTTGAAAAATTCAGAAATTGAGTTTAAAATTAGGAAAATTTTAGTTTCTTCTTAAAATTCGGAGAATTCTAACTTGATTCTAAAATTCCGGAGAGAAATGAACTTTAAATTGTTGATATAAATTTTGAAACTGCACGTGGTCAGGGTTGCAAGGATTTGAAATTTTCAAAAATTCCCAGATTTAAAAAAGGCATTTTTTTCCATTTTAGTAGCGGAAATTAGGAAATTTTAGTTTTTTCTAAAATTACAGAAAACTACAGAATTTGAAATTTTGAAAAATCCAGTAATAAAAAATATCGTGATAGTTTGTTTTTCATTTTAGTCAAGGAGTTTGAAATTTGGAAAATTTTAGTTTATTTTAAGATTTCGGGGAAAAACGAAACTCGGAAAATTTTAATTTGGTTTTAAAATACCTGAAAAAAAAATAATTTTAAAGTTGTTAATATATATTTTGAAACTGCGCTTGATCAGGGTTGCTAGAAATTCAAATTTTCAAAAATTCTGAGACTTAAAAAAACGAGCTTTTTCATTTTAGTAGCGGAAATTAGAAAATTTTCGTTTCTTTCTATAATTACAGAAAAATAGAGAAATTGAAATTTTGAAAAATTCAGAAATTGAGTTTAAAATTAGGATAATTTTACTTTCTTCTTAAAATTCGGAGAATTCTAACTTGATTCTAAAATTCCGGAGAGAAATGAACTTTAAATTGTTGATATAAATTTTGAAACTGCACGTGGTCAGGGTTGCAAGAATTTGAAATTTTCGAAAATTCCCAGATTTAAGAAAGGCATTTTTTTCCATTTTAGTAGCGGAAATTAGGAAATTTTAGTTTCTTTCTAAAATTACAGAAAACTACAAAATTTGAAATTTTGGAAAATCCAGTAATAAATAATATCGTGATAATTTGTTTTTCATTTTAATCAAGGAGTTTGAAATTTGGAAAATTTTAGTTTATTTTAAGATTTCGGGGAAAAATGAAACTCGGAAAATTTTAATTTGGTTTTAAAATACCTGAAAAAAAAATTTTAAGTTGTTAATATACATTTTGAAACTGCGCTTGATCAGGGTTGCTAGAAATTCAAATTTTCAAAAATTCCGAGACTTAAAAAAACGATCTTTTTCATTTTAGTAGCGGAAATTAGAAAATTTTCGTGTCTTTCTATAATTGCAGAAAAATTGAGAAATTGAAATTTTGAAAAATTCAGAAATTGAGTTTAAAATTAGGAAAATTTTAGTTTCTTCTTAAAATTCGGAGAATTCTAACTTGATTCTAAAATTCCGGAGAGAAATGAACTTTAAATTGTTGATATAAATTTTGAAACTGCACGTGGTCAGGGTTGCAAGAATTTGAAATTTTCAAAAATTCCCAGATTTAAGAAAGGCATTTTTTTCCATTTTAGTAGCGGAAATTAGGAAATTTTAGTTTCTTTCTAAAATTACAGAAAACTACAAAATTTGAAATTTTGAAAAATCCAGTAATAAATAATATCGTGATAATTTGTTTTTCATTTTAATCAAGGAGTTTGAAATTTGGAAAATTTTAGTTTATTTTAAGATTTCGGGGAAAAATGAAACTCGGAAAATTTTAATTTGGTTTTAAAATACCTGAAAAAAAAAATTTTAAAGTTGTTAATATACATTTTGAAACTGCGCTTGATCAGGGTTGCTAGAAATTCAAATTTTCAAAAATTCCGAGACTTAAAAAAACGATCTTTTTCATTTTAGTAGCGGAAATTAGAAAATTTTCGTTTCTTTCTATAATTACAGAAAAATTGAGAAATTGAAATTTTGAAAAATTCAGAAATTGAGTTTAAAATTAGGAAAATTTTAGTTTCGTCTTAAAATTCGGAGAATTCTAACTTGATTTTAAAATTCCGGAGAGAAATGAACTTTAAATTGTTGATATAAATTTTGAAACTGCATGTGGTCAGGGTTGCAAAAATTTGAAGTTTTCAAAAATTCCCAGATTTAAAAAAGGCATTTTTTCCATTTTAGTGGCGGAAATTAGGAAATTTTAGTTTCTCTCTAAAATTACAGAAAACTACAGAATTTGAAATTTTGAAAAATCCAGTAATAAAAATATCGTGATAGTTTGTTTTTCATTTTAGTCAAGGAGTTTGAAATTTGGAAAATTTTAGTTTATTTTAAGATTTCGGGGAAAAATGAAACTCGGAAAATTTTAATTTGATTTTAAAATACCTGTCGATTTTTCGACTTCATTACTTTTCGATTTCTCGTTCTTTTAATCTTTCAATCGCTCAATTTTTCAACTTTTCGAATTTTTAAGTTTTTTGATTTCCCGATGATGTATCGAGATTTGGATTTTTCGATATTTTGATTGTCAATTTCTCAATTTATAAATTGTTCAATTTTTAAGTTTTAGATTTTTCGATTTTGGACTATTTCGGTTTTTCAATTGTTGGACTTGTCGACTCCACGATTTCTTGATCTTTTGATTTTTCGAATTTTATTAGGTTGTTTTAATTTTTCATTTTTTTTTTCCTTACTGTTGATATCATACAGTGTATTGAAAACAACCACAAAAATTGTCACTAAAAACATTTAAAAATTCATACAAAATAGAACACAGTGTTTCCAAAACGTTTTCCCGAAAAAAATCCATTGGGTTATTACGATTTCAACAATATTCTTAGTTTAAGACGTTTTGCAAGTATAAAACACAAATAAAGAATTAATTCTTAGTTAAACAAAATAGGTAAAATCACCTAAATATGCACCAAAAATATTCACTTAGTCGTTATAAAAAATTAATCTATGCTTTAACTTCGAGTGTACCGTTTCTCTGGTTAATTTTTGAGGTTATGTTGTAACAATAGATTTTGAAATATTTTTTCACCAAAATAGCAGCTAAAAGGGTAAAAGTAAACTTAGTAAGTACTTTCACACTATAGCCATTCTAATAACAAATTAATTTAGGTGAATCAACATGTCGGTCCTGGAATATCCAGAAAACTCTCCCTCGAACATAACCTCAAATTATGGCTTGATAAACCACTTTAAAAGTCACAGCTCATCTCCGCTACGTTTCAACTGTGAAAATAGCAACGTGGAGAGCTACAAGTGCAAAGACTGCAATTTCCAGACAAAACTGACCCTTTTTTTCAAAGAACACCACGCTATAAAAAAAGAGCAAAAAGAATACACCACACAGAAGTACGTTTGTGACAAATGCTTCTTTGAAACATACTTTTCACTCAAATGGTTACAACACACTGTAGAGTGTTTGGAAAATCGTCAAATGAGAAAGTCGTTTCCGCTGTATAAGTGTCCATGTGGTCGCAAATACAAAAGAAAACAGTCTTTAAACAAACACAAAATTTTGAAACACCCTGATGGAAACTCAGTAGTGTGGTACCACTGTGCCCAATGCCCATACAAAGCTAAACAAAAAGGCCACTTAAAAACCCACGTACACAACCAGCATATGGACATCCAAGACATTAAGTGGTTTGAATGCGAAAAATGCCCATTCAGAGCCAAACTCAAAGGAAACTTAAAAAACCACGTAGTGGCTCGACATACCACCGAGCACGATATTAAATGGTTCGAATGTGCAGAGTGCCCCTACAAAACCAAACAAAAACACCATCTAAAAAGCCACTTCAACGCTTATCATTTAGACGCTTATCACATTTGTACCATTTACATTAAATGGTACAAATGTGACAAATGCCCCTATAAATAAAAAAAATCCGGCTTGAAAGTGCACATAAACGTGTCACATTTAGACGAAACAGAGATTAAATGGTTCAAGTGTGACAGGTGCGACTATAAAGGTAAAAACAAATCGTATTTGCAAAAGCATATAATCGCGCGCCATTTCGACGATAAAGATATTAAATGGTACGAATGTGAAAAGTGCCCGTATAAAGCAAAACTTAAAGCAACTTTGAAGGATCACACGACCGCGGAACACTCAGACGGGCGCGAGATTACGTGGTACGAATGTGCCAAGTGCTCGTTTAAAGCTAAGCAGAAGGGGAATTTAAAAAGTCACATAACCGCGTACCACTTGGACGAAAACGAGATTAAGTGGTTTCAGTGTGAAAAGTGCAACTTTAAAGCTAAGAAGCAATTTAATTTGAAGAAGCACATGATTGTGTGGCATTTGGAGGATGAAGATGTTAATTGGTACGAGTGTGAAAGGTGTCCGTTAAAATCTAAACCTAAATCGTCTTTTAATAGACACGTCAATGTGCATCAAATCAATCAATAAATTATACGTAATTAAAAAACGCATTTAATTTAAAACAACTTTATTTCTCTTGAGCTACATTTAGAAAAATATCTTTAACTGAAAGTCGTACTTGCCTGGATGCCTTTTCAATGACGTCGTTTAACTTTTTTCTGCGTGGTGGACAATTATCTTGTGTTTGTTCAAATCGACTTTCTAATAGCTTTATACGAACACATTTTGCATTTGTACCACTTGATATTGTGTTCATCCAAATGGTGGACTGTTACATGTTCACATTTAATCTCCTAGTGGTATTTCCTGACATGGCGTTTTAAATGTATTTTTTGTTTAGCTTTATACGGGCACTTGTCACACTCGTACCATTTAATATCCTTTTCGTCCGAATGGTGGGCGCTAACGTGGCATATTAAATTCGACTTTTGTTTAGCTTTATATGGACACTTTTCGCATTCATACCACGTGATGTTTTTCTTAACCATGTGGCGCGTTTTTATGTGACGTTTCAAGTTCTCTTTGGATTTACCTCTATATGGGCATTTTTTGCACTCACACCATTCGACGTCCTGGTCGTCTAAATGGCGCAAAATCGTGTGTCTTTTTAAATGGGAACTTTTTCTAGATTTGTATGGACACTTTTCACACTCGTGCCATTTAAAATCTAGCTTATTTTTGTGGCAAATGTTTACGTGTTGTTTTAAAGCAGATTTGTACTTAGTTTTGTGTTGGCATTGTGTGCACTTGTACCATGTGCTCTCCATTTCATCCAGATGCTGTGCGTTTACGTGGATTTTTAAATCCCAGTTTCGCTTACACTTGTATGGACAGTTTAAGCACTTATACCACGAGATTTTGTCGTCTTTTAAGTGTTTTGAGCATCTGTGTTGTGTCAGATTTTTCTTATATTTTGATTTGAATTTACAGTCGTTGCAGTTGAACCAGGTGTGTTTAATTTTTTCGTCTTCTTTTACACAATTCGCTTTATAGTCCACACATACTGAGGTATGCCGAAGCCACTTGATTGAAAAATTCGTGTTAAAACCACACTTGTCACAAAAATATTTCTGAACTGTGTATTCTTCACTCAATGATTCTTCTCTTTTAATTTCGTGGTGCCCTTCTACATGCTGTTTAAAAATAAGTGTTAATTTGGTTTGAAAATTGCAGGTTGGGCAGTTGTAACTTTCAATGTTGCTATTTTCGCAGTTGAAAAGCGTTGATGATGAAGGGTGGCATCTGAGGTGGTGTATCATTAACAATAATGATGTTGTAAAGTATGGGCAAACTTTACAATGGTGGACTTTTTTTAAGGAAGACTTGGAGTGTGCTGTCGGGGTTTCACAGTATTCCAAACTCGACATTTTGGTTTGCCTACGGTTAAAATTAGTGTTTTTGGTGTGCTCTAAAGGAAACACAGTTTTTTCTTACCGTTTATGAGGTTGTTTGGGTTGTTTTAATGTTTAAATGATGCTCTACCAACATAACCTCAAAAATTAAATTTCACTGCAGAATTGATTTTCTGTTGTGTTATAAAGCGGAAATGGTGCCAAGTTTATCGGAAATTTTAATTGAAAATGTTTTTCTCGTCACCACGCTGTAATCACACTATACCATACAATGGGACAGTTTCTGAAAGGCCCATAAGAAATACACGTGACGAACTTACGGACTATAACAACAATAACTGCCACGCATGCGCATTAAACTTTAAAAATGTAACTATTTGATACAAATTTAAGCAGTGTATATTGGGTTGCCTAGTCCCTCAATTTGGAAGGTGGAATTTGACAGATCAGTTTTAATCAGGTCCCTGGACGCAAATTTACATCCACCAGCGAATTAAATTTGCTAAAAAAAAGGTTTTAATGAAAAATGGTTAAAACTTGAGGTTTAAAATTAATAAAACCAACTAAGATTAACACGAAGTCAACAAACTCATAATTTTGCTTATTGACGTTTGAGGTAGGCAACACACAATACATGACCGAAAACAGTTTTCATTGCAAATTTCACTAGTAACTGTGTTAAATGGGTTGAAAATAACGCAAAAAACACTAGATGAAAGACTTTAATAATAATTGTTTACAAATACATGAAATTTTAAACTTTGAACAAACTTTATATCATATACATCACGTCAGAAATGTGAAAATACACGTTTATTTTTTTTACTTTACTTCAAGGGTGAATTCGTAGCAGTAAATAACTGATGCATCCTGGTGTGCTTTTTTAAACTATATTTCAGTCTCGCTCTATATGAACATTCATCACATTCAAACCATTGAACATCCGCTTCGTCCAGATGACGCGTATTTATGTGACTTTTCAAAAGTGCTTTATACCTACTTCTATAAGGGCACTTTTCGCACTCAAACCACTGAATATCCTTCTCATCCAAGTGGTGTTTCTTAATGTGTTGTTTCAAATTAGAATTATCCTTAGTTCTATACACACACTTGTCACAGTGAAACCATTTAACATCCTGTTCCTCCAAATGCAGCGCATTTATATGTTTCTTTAAATTAGAACTATCCTTAGCTCTATATGGACACTTTTCACAATCATACCATCTAACACTTTTCGGCTCTACGTGATGTGCATTCACGTGTTTTCTTAAATTTCCTTTGATTCTAGCTTCATATGGACACTTGTTGCATCTGAACCATTTAAGAACTTCTCCGTTATTTAAATGTCGGGCGATATTGTGTTGTTTTAGTAACGACTTTCGTTTGGTTTTAAATGAACACTCTTGGCAATGATACCATTTAATATCGGCGTCGTTTAAATGTCGCGAAATTATATGGTAGGTTAAGACATGTTTGGCTTTAGCTTTGTATGGGCAATCTTTGCATTCGTACCATTTAATATCCTTTTCATCTAAATGGTACGAATTGATGTGTCTTCTTAAAACGTTGCTGTATTTAGCTTTGTATGGACATTCTTTGCATTCGTACCATTTAATATTGGCACCGGAACGGTGCACCTTCATGTGTTTTTTCAACAATGTCTTTTGTTTAGCTTTGTATGTACAGTTATCACAGTATAACCAATCTAAGTCGTCCGAAGTTTTTAGATTTTGTTTTTTCACTAAACATGTAATGAAATGTCGAAGCCACTTTATGGAGAAGTATGTGTGGAAGTTGCACTTTTCGCAGTAGTAGTTTTGGATGCTGAAGTCTTCCACATTTGATACATTTTTCGGGACTTCTTGTTTGATGTTGGGGCACTGTCGAAGGTGTTGTTTGAATACAAGTGTCAGTTCCGTTTGAAAACCGCACTCTTGACAATGGTAGATTTCAATGTTACCACTTTCACAATTAAAAGGTAGCAATTTGGGGCAACTTTTGTACTTAATGTCATCTTCATCTTTCATGTCAGTCAAGTTGTCACAGGACATTTTAATTCACCTAAATAACTTAATTAATTTTTTATACAGTGGAAGAAATAATGTTTGTGGGTTTTCTTACCTAAACCGATGGAATTAATACAATTTTATTACGAACATAACCTCAAAATTCCACTAGTAAAGTAACCCCCTACTCTCGCTCAAATTCTTGACACTTCTTGCATAAATGTCAAATTTAGTAACTTTTGTAAAAAAAGTCCCCAAAATACCCCAATCGGGACCACGATAATCAGAAGTTCTAAAACATTTAAGATTACGTAGTTGATACATAAAATTGCAACGAAACTAGTGGAAAATTTTATTTTCGTATTCTATTTTGTGCATTATTATTTTACCCTCCAGTGATGCGCCTTATTGTGTCTTTTTAAAGTATATTTCCATTTAGCTTTATACGAACACTCTTTGCAATCATGCCATTTAATGTCCGCCTCATCCAAATGCCGCATAATTCGGTGACTTTTCAAAAGTGCCTTATTTCTTGCTTTATAGGGACACTCCCTACATTCAAACCAAGGCATTTTGTTTACCTTTGTATGGACATTGCTCACACCTATACCATTTAATGTTCTGTTTGTTGGAATGATGAGCGTGTTTTTTTAAACGGATTTTTTCTTACATACTAAAGTATGTCGCAGCCATTTCATTGAGAAATGTGACACAAAACTACACTTTTTGCAAGCATATTTTTTTATAGTGGAGTCTTAGATCATATAATAAATAGATACCACCATGCCGTGTTCTTTCCTTAGGACAGCCTGTGACGACATCCTCCTGTCACACATCTCTCTCGTGCATGGAAAGGTTACAATGAAGCTATCCTTGCCTGATCACTATTTGAATTTTGCGCGCCTAAATTTTAGGAAGTATGTCTGAACTAACTTCGGAAGAAAGATGTTGACAGTTTGAATTTATAAATAATTCACAGTAGATAACGAGAGGAATAGTAAATTATTGGGCAGCAATTGTGATCCTTTATGACTACATCACTTAAAATAGGATCTTTGTTCTAAATTCTAAAATTGTTTTTTGTACAACAACTCGAAAGAGAGGTTAGAAGAAACATCTGTCAAAAGCGATTTGTTGCGCTGGTGCGGTACAAGGATGGAAGTGAAATAGACATACACAGATGAAATGCATATAACAAAGATGAAGATGTGGTGATCACACAAGGATAGCATTATACTACTCCCCTTGACGTAGAAAACGACAACAGATAGCTTCATGTCTAGTCACAGCTTTCAGTTTGAGTATTGGTATCTATTTATTATGTGATCTAAGAGTGGAGTACACTTCTGGTGGATTTTCATTTTTAGTTTTATTGTTGCATTGTTTAGAGTGGTGTTCTAAAAGCAGGTTTAGTTCTGTTTGGAAATTGCAGTTTTTGCAATAATAACATTTAATAAAGGCATCTGCACAGATATAATGGTATAATGATGGTTCCATTATGATTTAGGTTATTTGAGATAATTTCTTGAGCAATCTAAAATTGGTGTTCTAGTTGTCCTAAAAAATTAATTAATTAATTAAGTACAGTGCAAACACACTTTCGGTTTTTTAACTTTTTTCTTACCTATATTTTGAAAGATATTAAAGTGCAAAACTTGAAAAATAAATAAACTAAGTTGGACATAACCAAACTTTTGTAGTCTGTTCTGTGCTTTTGTCCAAAATTTGTTTTATAAGTAACTATAATCAGTAACTAAAACTTGTTACTACGTTGTCAAACCCCAGGTCAGAATTGAAAATCAGAAGTACTCAAACGTTACAGTTTCAAAGCAATATTGGTAATATGTAGTACCTAACTTATTATTTTTTTAACAAATCTGCTACATTATTTATTAAACGTGCTTTATTTAAGGGGTCGCATAAATAGGATCTTATATAGTGTAAAAAACACATTAAAGTTATTTAGACAGAACATTCTGCTCTCCCGTTTCCGTTTGTCTGTGTCGATTTTTATTAGACAGATAAACCTCCGAAACTACTGGATCGACTGTCAGATTTTGTGTGTATATTAGGATCATAGGACTAACCAAAATTTGACTAATCATTTCCACTACCAATAGGATGACGTCATCTCCAAAATTGACAATAGTAACTTTGGTTTTAATTTTATAAAATAAAATACTTCTGCATTTGTGATGTTGAATCCGTGTTGAGTTTTCACTTTAGATATCTAAACTTTTGGAAAAAAAACAAAATTTTTCGATTCCTCGACTTTTCAGTGTTTCGATTTTTCGCTTTTTCAATTTTCCAGTTTTTCGATTTTTCAGGTTTTCAATTTTTGAATTATTTTATTTTTCAGCTTTCGATTTTTTGATTGTTCAATTGCCCGCTTTTTGGATTTCTCAGTTTTTCAATTTATAAACTTTATAAACTAAAAACTAAAAATCTTTAATTTAAAATTTTTCGATTTTTCAATTTTTAACTTTTCGATTCTGGCCTATTTGAATTTTTCGATTTTTCGACTTTCAATTTCTCGTTATGTTGATGTTTTGATTGTCGATGTTCAAGTTATTGAATTTTTTGATGTTAGGATGTTTCAATTTCGCGGTTTTCCGATTTTTCGACTGTTCAATTTTCCGCTCTTTTGATAATCCGAATTTTCAATGTTTCAACTTTCCAATTTCTTCAAATTTTTCAATTTTTTTCTATTTTCAGCTTTTCAATTCTTCAATTTTCCGATTTTTCAAATTTTCGATTACCCACTTTTTTGATATTTCGGTGTTGGGATTTTTAATTTTTTCGATTTTTTAAGTTCTTGAGTTCTCAATTTTTTGATTTTTTAAATTTTAGATTTTTGGAGAATACCCGATTTTTCGATTTTCCATTTTTTTTTTATTTTTTCGATCTTAAATTTTAGATTTCTCAATTTTTCATTTTTGGATATTTAATTTTCCAATTTTTAAATTTTCGATTTTTCGATCTCTTGATTTCTCAATTTTTCAGTTCTTTGCTGTTTCTATTTTTCGAGTTTTCGAATTTTTATGTTTTTGATTCTTTCGCTTTTCGACTTTTTGGTTTTAGATTTTTCAGTTTTTCAATTTTTCGGTTTTTAAAATTTTTCATTTTCCGTTTTCTCAATTTCTCGGCGTTTCAGTTTAATGATTTTTCAATTTTTCCATTTTTCGGGTTTTTGATTTTTCAGTTTTTCGATTTCTCAATTTTTCAGTTTTGGGTTTTTTGGGGTTTCCTTCCATTTTTCGATTTTTCAATATTATATCAGTTTTGGGATTTTTTAATTATTAAATTAAAAAATCTATAAATCGAAAAACTGAGAAATTGAACAATCGAAAGATTGAAATCTGGATAAATCGAAAAATTGAAAAACTAAAAATCTAAAACTAAGGATTCAGTTTTTCAATTTTTGAATTTTAGATTTTGAGATTTCTTGATTTTTCGATTTTTCAATTCTTCGATATTTCTCTTTTCCGATTTTTCGAATTTTTAAACTATTTCTCAGTTTTTTGATTTTTTAGCTTTTCAATTTTTCGATTTCTCGAGTTATTTTATTTTATTTTTTTTTATTTTATTTTATTTTAATAATTACTTTTCCAACAGGCCGAGAGGCCCAATTACAGGAAAAGGGGACATACAAAAACACCCAGAGACAGAGCGGGAATCGAACCCACGACCCAAGGTGTAGTGGGCAGATGTCAAGCCACCTCACCCACCGGGTCCTCGAGATTTCGATATTTTGATGGCTCAATTTTTCGATTGTTGTTAATTTAAAGTTTTCCAATTTCTCAATTTTTCGACTTCTGGATTCTTAGATTTCTCAATGGGATATTTCGGTACTCGATGTTCAATTTTTGAATTTTTCGTAGTTTAGATGTTTTGATTTCGCGGTTTTTCGACTCTCCGGTTTTTTGAAAATCGATTTTGCAATGTTTTAACTTCCCAATTTTTCGTCATTTCAATTTTAGAATTTTTCAATTTTTTCCGGTTTTCAGTTTTTTGATTTCTCAATTTTCCAATTTTTCAATTTTTCGATTAAGTACTCATGTTTTCGATATTTCGGTATTGGGATTTTTCTTTTTTTCAATTTTTCGGTTTTTAAAATCGTTTGTTTTTTCAATCTTCCGACGTTTCAATCTTTCGATTTTTCAGATTTTTGGTTTTTTTAATTTTCCATTTTTTGACTTTTCGATTTCCCGATTTTTCAATTTTTCGATGTTTCAGTTTTGGGACTTTTCAATTTTTCTCCCATTTTTCAATTTATCAATATTTTGATTCTTCCGTTTTTCGATTTCTCCATTTTTTGCTTTTTCCCGTTTTTTCAATTCTTTAATATTTCTATTTTTCAATTTTCCGAATTTTTATGTTTTCGATTTTTTAGTTTTTGATGTCTCGATTTATCAATCTTTCAACTTCTTGGTTTTAGATTTTCAGTTTTTCAATTTTTAAAATTATTTATTTTTCGTTTCCTTAATTTTCCAACGTTTCAGTTTTACAATTTTTCGGGCTTTTGATTTTTCAATGTTATGTTTTCTAAATTTTCGATTTTTCGATTTGTCCGATGTTTTATTCAGTTTTCGATTTTTCTGTTTTTCGATTTCTCCATTTTTTACTTTTTCAATTCTTAAATTTTAGGTTTCTCACTTTTTCGACGTCTGGATTTTTCAATATTTTTGAATTTAAAATTTTCGGATTTCTTAATTTTTCTATTTTTCAGTTCTTCGATATTTCTATTTATCAAAATTGATAATAATAATAATTGCATTTATTAACGCCAATAAAGCTGTTACAGAGTAAAATAAAGACAAAAACTACAATAAACTACAATAAACAGAAACGCACAACTTACATTCTAAAATAAATTCCTAAGCTGGGACTTAAAAACTTTAAAACTCACACCTGTAAAATCAACCTCAGTACGGCACAGACCACCCAACCATAAAAGTCTCTGTAAAGATGAGTGGAGACAGTAGTTGGTCTTAAAGCAGTTAAATTTAAACAGAGATTGGGATCTTGTGCTTGATGATTTTTCATTTGTCTCGATTTCTCGATCTCTCGATTTTTCGTCACTTTGTTTTTAGATTTTTCAGTTTTTCAATTTTTCATTTTTATTTGATGTCTTGATTCATCGAGATTTCGATGTTTCCTGGATTTTTCAATTTGTCAATATAGATTTTTTAATTTAAAATTTTTCAATTTTTCCCTTTTCGATTTTGGACTTTTCAATTTCTCGATCTCTTGCTGTTTCGATTCTCGATGTTCAAGTTTTTGAATTTTTCGATGTTTAAAAGTTTCGATTTCGCGGTTTTTCGATTTTTCGACTTTCGATTTTTCAGTGTTTTAACCTACCAATTTTTCGTCATTTCAGTTTTGGAATTTTTCAGTTTCTCGATTTTCAGTTTTTCGATTCCTCAACTTTCCGATTCCTCAGTTTTACGATTTTTCAATTTTTAGATCTTTCAGGTTTTTGATTTTTCAATGTCTTGATGTTTTAAATTTTCGATGTTTCGACTTTTCAATTTCTCGATTTTTCAATTTTTCGATTTCTCAATTTCTCGATGTTTCAGTTTTAGGATTTTTAATTTTTTCTTTCGTTTTCCGATTTTTCGATATTATCAGTTTTGGGGTTTTTCAATAGTTTGATTTTTCAGTTTTTCGATTTTTGGAATCAGTTTCATGATTTTTCAATTTTTCGGTTTTTCAGGTTTTTGATTTTTTAATGTTTTGAGAATTAAAATTTTCGATTTTTCGACTTTTCAATTTCCTGATTTTTCAGTTTTTGGATTTCTCAATTGTTCAGTTTTGGGATTTTCCAATTTTTCTTCCATTTTTCATTTTTTCGATATTATCAGTTTTGGGATTTTTTAACATTTCCATTATTCTTCGATATCTGTAGTTTTTGAATTTTGGCAGTATTTTTCAGTTTTTTGATGTTTCGCTGTCTCGATCTTTCGACTCCTCTTTTAAATTTTTCGATTTCTCGATTTGTCAAGATTTTGATCTTTCGATTTTTGGATTTCACAGATTTTCGATTTTTTTTAATTTAAATTTTTTCAATTTTTAACTTTTGATTTTGGCCTATTTCAATTTTTTAATTTCTCAATTTTTCGATTTCCCAATTTATTACTTTTTCGATTTTTAAATTTTAAATTTCTCAATTTTTCAATTTTGAAATTTTAGATTTTTCCATTTCTCAACTATTCAGTTATTTGATGTTTCTAATTTTCAATTTTTCGAATTTTTATCTTTTCGATATTCGATTGTGGATTTTGATGTTTTAATTTTTGAATCTTTCGATTTTTCGACTTCTTAGTTTAAAATTTTTCAGTTTTTTAATTTTTCGGTTTTAAAATTTTTCATTTTTCTATTTCTCAATTTCTCGACGTTTCAGTTTTACGGTTTTTCAATCTTTCGATTTTTCAAGTTTTTAATTTTTCAATGTTTTGATTTTTAAAGTTTTCGATTTTTCGACTTCCGGATTTTTCAGTTTTTTGATTTCTCAATTTTTCAGCTTTGGGATTTTTCAATATTTCTTCCATTTTTGAATTTTTCGATATTATCAGTTTTGGTTTTTTTTTTAATTTGTTTTTCAAGTCTTGAGTTTTTGATTTTTTAATTTTTCAATTTTTGAATTTTAAATTCTGAGATTTCTTGTTTTTTCGACTTTTCAGTTCTTCGAATTTCTATTTTTCGATTTTTCGGATTTCGGAAGTTTTTTTGATTTTTCAGTTTTTTGATTTCTCCATTTTTTACTTTTTCGATTTTTAAATTTTAGATTTCTCAATTTTTCGATGTTTCAGTTTAACGATTTTTCAATTTTTAGATTCTTCAGGTTGTTGATTGTACGATATTTTTTAAATTTTCAATTTTCGATTCGTGATTTCTCAATTTTTCGATGTTTCAGTTTTGGGATTTTTCAATTTTCCAATTTTTCTTTCATTTTTCAATTTTTCATTATTTCGATATTTTTCAGTCTTTCAATATTCTAATTTTTCAATTTTTAGATTTAAAATTTTTCCATTTCTCGATTTCTCAATTTCAGTTTCAATTTTTCAATTTTTCGAATTTTTATGTTTTCAATATTTTAGTTTTTAATGTTTCGATTTTCTGATCTTCCGATTTTTCGACTTCTTGGTTTTAAATTTTTCAGTTTTTCAATTTTTTGGTATATAAACTTTTTGATTTTTCGAATTTTCAATTTTTCGGTTTTTAAAATCTTTTGTTTTTTCAATCTTCCGACGTTTCAGTTTTATGATTTTCCAGGTTTTTGATTTTTTAAATTTTCGATTTTCTGATTTTTTGTTTTCCCAATTTTTCAATTTTACGATGTTTGAGTTTTGGGACTTTTTTCCGAATTTTTATGTTTTCGATTTTTTAGTTTTTGATGTTTCGATTTCTCAGTCTTTCAACTTCTTGGTTTTAGATTTTCAGTTTTTCTATTTTTAAAATTATTTATTTTTCGTTTTCTTAATTTTCCAACGTTTCAGTTTAACAGTTTTCCCATTTTTCAGGTTTTTGATTTTTCAAAGTTAAGATTTCGATTTCTCGGATGTTTTGGTTTTTCGATCTCTGAATCTTTCAGCTTTTCTATATATCAGTGTCGGGATTTTTTAATATTTCGTTTCTTTTGTTTTTCGATTTCTCCATTTTTTACTTTTTCAATTTTTAAATTGTAGGTTTCTCATTTTTTCGACGTTTCGATTTCTCGATTTTTAAATTTTTTTTATATTTTAATTTTCCAATTTTTGAATTTTAGATGTTTCCATCTCCCGATTTCTCGATCTTTCGACTTCTTGGTTTTAGATTTTTCACTTTCGGTTTCTAAAATTTTAGATTTTTCGATGTCTCGATATTTTGATTTTTCCGATTTTGTTTGATTTAAAATTCGTCTATTTTTTAATTTTTAAATTTTCGATTTTGGTCTATTTCGATTTTTCGACTTTTCCACTTTTCGATTTTTCATTTTTTCCAATTTTTCGTCATTTTAGTTTTGGAACTTTTCAATTTCCCGATTTTTCAGTTTTTCGATCGTTTAATTTTCCGATTTTTGACTTTTTCGATTTTTTTCTATTTTATATTTTACGGCAACAATTGAATCATCTACTTTTTATACCAAAATGATATTATGTTTGTGATCTTTTAAGAGAATTCTAAATACGTCGAGAAGAGATATACCGGGTATATACAGCACAGTAAAATTCTTTTAAATTTGGTAAGGTGTTGTAAAACGGTATGTTTCTATTTTAGGGACGTCGTGTTGAAATTCAGATTTAGCTCCTCCAAAAAACTGATGACGTCATTTCAACGACATTACATAAAATCCGCGTAACTTAATAAAAAAATTAAAAACGATAACAAAAATATTTATTTTAATTTACTTTTTATGTACATTTACATTCCTTAACCATCAAAATGGTGCAAATTCACGTGACTTTTCAAATTGGATTTATGCTTAGTCCTGTAGTGGCACCTATCACACTCAAACCAATTAATATCCTGCTCGTCCAAATGTCGCAAACTTATATGCCGCCTTAAATCCGCAGCACGTATACTTTTATAAGGACACTCGTTACATTCATACCACTTAATATCATTCTTATCCAAATGATGCGTATTTATGTGACTTTTCAAATTCGACTTTTTTTTAGATTTATAGGCACACTTGTTACACATGTACCATTTAATATCCTTTTCATCCAAATGGTGCGCTTTTATGTGACTCCTTAAATTAGAACTCTGTTTAGCTTTATAAGAACACTCTTTACACTCATACCAAGTGATGTTTTTCTTGTCCACATGGTACGCATTCATGTGGTTTTTCAAATGAACGTTTTGTTTGGTTTTAAATGGGCACTTTGTGCATTCGTACCATTTAACAACCAACCCGTCTGCATGCAACGCGTTCACGTGCTTTTTTAAATTCGAACTTTCTTTAGCTTTGTAGGTGCATTTTTCGCATTCGTACCATTTAATATTATTGTCGTCCAAGTGGTGCACTTTGATGTGGCTTTTTAAGTGCGAACTTTGTTTAGCTTTATAGGGACACTGCTTACATTCGTACCACTTAATGTCTTTTTCGTCCAAGTGGTGGGTTTTAATGTGGACTTTTAAGTGCGAATTTTGTTTCGCTTTATATGGACAATTGGGACATTCGTACCACTTGATGTCTTGCCCATCTAAATGCTGCGAATTCATGTGGATTTTCAACGCCGACCTGTATTTAGTTTTGTACGGACATACCGTACATCCGAAGCTTTTCACCTTTTGTTCGTTTATATTTTCCACGTGCGTTGCTAAATTCGCTTTAGAGTCGTTTGACGACTGCTGGTTTTGACACCAAGGTATCTCATAGTTAATCGAATGTTGCGAAATTTTGTGAATTTTAAATGTATACTTGCTCTGACATTTGTATTCACAGAGTTCGCAATTATACCGCATAAAAGAATTTTTTTGGCCGTCGAAGTCGTCACTTGTCACTTGTGGGGGTTCCCTGGTCGCTGAACACCCCGCGGTGTGCTGGAGCCACGTGAGCGAGAAGTGGGTTTCGAAGCCGCATTTTTCACACTCGTATTTTTTGGCCGTGTAGTCCTCGTTCGACGGGTGCTCCTGGATTTCCGTTTTGATGCCGTGGCACTTTTCGAAGTGTTGCTTGTAAAATAGGGTGAGTTCGGTGCGGAAATGACAGTCCTTGCAATAGTAAACTTCGATGTTGCTATTTTCACAGTCAAAGTGGGGCAACATGGAGCTGGGGTGGCGGAGGTTCATCCTGGGGAAGGCCATGGCGAAACATGGGGGTATTTAGCATCGATGGTGGGTAATATCGTGGTTTGTCTACATCTGTGAGTCACTCGTTATGCAACGAAAACGGTGTTCGTGGTTTAGCTTACCTGGAGTTTGTGAAAATCGCCCGAATTCTTCCAAGACTGGTCAATTTTATTGTGGGGATATAACCTTAAAAGTTGGTTTAGAAGTTTCCCGAAGTAACTTTGGTGAGGATGGTTAGGGAAGAGAAGAGACGCGATTTACGTTACGGGTAAGTCATGACAGCGGGGTTTAAACTTAAAATAAATTTTTGGAAAATTTTTAAGGACGATTTTAAATGACAGTTTTGTAATTAGCACGGGCAACCAGGAATACACTGGTCTTCCACGTCACATTTGGACTAGGCAACACACAATACGACAGTGTCACAACAGCATATCTACATAGTGTACCTAAATAATTCATACATAATATAATCAGTGTGCACAAAATATCTGTATCTAAATACTAAATTAATGGCGCAGATACAGATACATTTTTTTATTTCACTTTTTTTTCAGTAGTTATTAGTTGAGTCATTGATTAAATACATATAGATAGACCCATGCTATTGTTTGGAGCGAACAGGCCAACGGCCGGCGAACAAGAGATGGCGCACCAACAGTCGGCCGTCAAACGCCGGCGAAAAGCTTGGACACCAATCGCGCGCGTAGATAACCCAAATCGCAGCAACAATACATTTAATAAAGCTACCACTCGACAGAGGGCGACGAAAACAATGTGTAAAAATCTCATAGTAACCATTTATATAATTTGCAACGTTGCCAGATGAGCCTAGCACAACTTTGCCGTTATTTCTAGTCGATTAGATTTTATTTCGTTTAAAAGTTTCTGGTGAATAAATGGAATTATTATAATGAATAAACAATACAAACAAATTATTACTTGTTATTTTAAATATTTGTTAGTGTTGATGAAAACATAAATGGTAATTAAAGTTATTCTAAATACGGTCCGGTCCGGTAGCTCAAATTTTACAGTACGAGTGATATGTTTCAGGACGAGTAGGTAGCCGAGTCTTTAATTTCGAAACGAGTACTGCGAAAAGAGTTACCGGACGTATGTTGTTATGTATTTTATTTCATACTGTCAACATACTTTTTTATTCGATAAAATTATTATTATTTTGAGAAAAAATCCAAATCGAGTCACTTTTTCTGACATCGTTAGCAACCGCTCTTTGGTAAATGTTTTAATTTGTTTATTCGTGCAAATCAGCATCATATGTTTAAACACATAGTACTTATAACACTTTACAGGACTTATTGTTTTGTATAATCCGACTCGATGGACGAATGTTTTGTGCAATCCGTCTCGAAGGACCAATGTTTGTGCAACTCGGCTCGTCCTACCAGTATTTTTTGTAATCTGGTTGATACGACAATGTGATACCGAATTGTACTTTGATATTGCTCCAAGGACCTTTGTTTTCTTGCGTGCGAGATAATAGACAGCGTTCGGTTTCGATGTTTAATACAGGACGGTTACAGAAATACTAAATTTACATTTGTATTTACAATAACAGGTAAAGCAAAAGAGACCCAAAAGGGTCAGTGGCCGCTTCCGGAAATGGAACACTTGTCCTTTTTGGCTCAATTTTATCGGACTTGTCCGTTTTTTTGATTTTACCGGAATCGTTCGATCCAGTAAAACGTCAAACTTGACATAGTATAAAGTAAAATAAATAAATTTTATTCAATTTTGACATGTAAACAAACGTTTTTCCACTAGAAGCATTACAATGGCTAATTGTCGACTTGTCTAGAGGTCTGTAATTTGGAAAATTGTGAACCTTGGTCAATAATGTAAACGTGAAGTTGGCCACCTAATGTGACAACTGTCCACAACTGTCAGAAAAACTGAGACATAACCTGAAAACGATCATTTTGGAAAATTTGCTTTTAAATTATGCCCTGGAATGATTTCCAAACCCTGAATTGATTATAAATTGAGGATAAATCGGTGAAACAAAGTTGATGAAGTTGATGCGAGTGAAAATGAAGTTTACGGGACTGAAACTGAATCATGGTTCCGATTTGGTTTGACTTGATTTGCCGTAGATGAGCTTTGGACGATTTCGGCGATTTTTTTTTTATTGAAGATCGACCCGTCGTTGTATCCTTCTGCTATGCTGGAGGATTTCCATTCCCCGTGTCGCTTTAACGATAAAAGGTCCATACCTTTTTCAGCCAAATTTGTCGCGGTCGCGTAAGTACGACGAAATGAGGAGGGGTACATGATGGTTCACTTTACAACATTTTTCACACAAAAATTTATTAAAAACGAGAAATATGGAGGAAATTAAAACAAAAGTTCTGGACCATTTCTGGATTGTCAAAAAATAATAAAATTCCAGAGCTTACTAAAATGACGTGAGTACACGTTTTTATTGATGCACTTCAGAAAAAACATTTTGAAAATTCGCAAACCTCAAATGGGCTACTAGTGGAAAAAATAGTATATTAACCACGTTTGTGAAGCCAATTCTAGACCTCGCGCTTTAGAGCCCTCGACGCTGCGCGTCTCAGGTTCTAATTTGCGCTCGGTCTAGAATGTCTGTCTTCACAACCTTAGCTAATAATATACTATTGTTTTGCCGTCAGTAGGCCACTAAAGCTTTGGTTTATCCGGTAGCACCATAAAATTTTTAAACCGCTAGCGAAATAAAATTTTTATTTTGCTGTTTTAAAACCATGGTTACCATTTCTGTAATTTCTCCAATGCCTTGCTGCTCTTTCCATCTAAGGAACTTTTGATACACTTTCTGATTTGCTCTTTTTTGGGAGCAAGTTTTGCCGTTGGAATCTTGCATGATTTTGCAATTTTTCGATAATTTTAGTTTGCTTAAAATAAACAAACACCGTCGCCAGAGTCACATACTACACACACACACCTGATATTGTAACCTAAATTCTACGCATATAAAACTTTTATTTGGTCGCTGTCAATTCTGACGTTTCTCGAATGTGAACTTTGAATCACCAATTTTTTCACAATTTGGGACTTGGGGTTGTCAAAATTGAATAAAAGTTTGTATTACACTCGCGGTTAAAATGAATGTGTAACTCGTGGTCTTAAGGCGCTCGCGGCATACGCCGCTCTCGCCTTAAACTGGCCGCTCATTAAACATTCACTTTAACCGCTTGTATAATAAATAACTATTATGATGTAAATACAATTGAGTATATCGATAATTCGCTACTGAAAATTTATTGAAATATAATTTGTGTTAAAAAAAGATTTTTGTGGTTTTATGGTTTATTAACATAATTTACTTATTTGAAATTAAATATTTTTAATACATAGCACAAGTTCTTGATATTCTTTATTTTTATTCCAAGTAATAATTGTGTTTCCTTTAGTTTTAATCAAGAAAATTTTTCGGTTATTATCTAACATACTTTTGTACATTAAGAAACTCCATTCCACGTCACAGGACGTTACAGGACAATATTTAAATAAATAGAGAAGTCGTTTTATGTGTTTTAAAATTCACTCTGATTTCCGGACTTTAGACTTTTTGGTGTTTCACTTCGGCACAAGAACTAGTCGTATCTCAAAGAAAGCAAACAGTGGAATATACCGTATTGTACCTATATTTCATAGTAAAAATGTCTAAATTTTTTTATGAAGAGACAGACTGTTCTAGGAAACTTTACTAAATCTTTTCATTTACGAGCTATTGAAAGTCCGCCGGTCTCACTGATACTTCTTACTTGGCTCCTACGAATGAAGCGAAAAATGCACAGATTGAAAATATAGTAAATGGGGTAATTTGTATGCGTGATATGTCGTTAGACATTAGGTATTTTGCAAATAAAATTTATTTCATTGAAAACAGAAACAATAAAAAACATATCTGTACAAGTTTGGAATCGATATGGCCAGTTGTTTAGAATATGCAAATATGCTTTTGTTCGTATTTACAATTATTACGAAACAGGTTATCAAATAATCTATTTTCACATGGCGAGACTTTCAAGCGGCCGAAGAATTAAAAACCATAAATTTTCATTGAAGAAACAAACTCTTCCAAGAAAATTACCAAATCTTTTAGTTTACGCACTATTGGACGAGCACTCCTTAAAACGGTCAGTATACCTAATCGCATTATTCCATTGATACCTACCTACCGAAAACGTTGCCAGATGAGCCTAACACAAATTTGCGGATATTTATATATATATGTATTTAATCAATGGTTGAGTTATACTAGTAGTAATTTTTGATACTTCATGTTGGTGATTTTGGTGACATAAACAAAAATAGAGGTAAGAGGTCCACTAATAGTGTTCTGTCACGGAAATTTTCATATTTTAAATACCATAATTTCATACATTGTAGCCTTCAGTACTCATACATCTTTAAATATAATCCTGAAGGGTAATAAATCTAAGCCATGGTAAGATGGTATTTTAAAAACCATAAACCACAATTCGCTATTCACTGGTTGTATTTGTGTTATTAAATAAGAGTAATTTTAATAGTAAAAATATTTGTTTAAGGTATGTTATTATTTTTAGAAAATAATAATTGTGTGTTACATAATGATTAATTTTTTCAATTAGCACAAATTAGTGATGTAATCGACTAATCGAATGTTCAATATATACATTTCTCTCGCATAAATCGCATATTTGTTACTGTTTTATACCTTTATTTTTCAGACAAATGTAGCATCTTTTCCTGTTGCCACATGTGTCATTTCTTCACTTTGTGAAGAAATGACACATGTGCCGATTATGCTTATGTGTAAATCTTTGGCAATAAAATTAATATTTTTACAACCCTCGGTAGAATAATTTATCGTGATATATTCTCAGAAATCGTGAAACGAGATTAAAATAAAATGAGTTTCAACAAAAATCTGAAAATTTAAAGTTGCACTCTGGTGATTTCGGCCTGCCAGATAGCCTTTGATCCTATAAGGGGTTAAATACCTTTCTAAGAAATTGTACTTATTTTGCCTTAAACGGAACCAGCAATTCTTTCTAAAATGTATATACCTACCGCAACGGGATAGACGATTACCGGACATGGTCATAAAAACATCGTAAGCCGATATTGAAGAATAATAATTTATGACCGGTTGCCGACAACAGACCTTCAGCACGGAATAATCATTTCCCGTATTTCTTTTGAAACATTAATTTTAATGCTGGAGATAATTATTAGATATACTCAAACACAATTTGGACGCCACAATCCCTTCTTCTGCACCTGTGGAACGGGTGTTTAGTAGCGGAAACCAAATTCTGACACCAAGAAGAAATAATTTAGGTGACAATACGTTCGAAATGTTGTTAATTTTAAAAAATTCATTAAACAATACATAAAAAAATACATAAACGTGTTTTCAGTTATTTTATTCGCCAAAGCTTCAAAAAGTATCTGTTTTCTTATATCTGTATCTAGATACATTTCGAAAAAATCGAAAACAATCTGTATCTAGATACTTTTATCTTCCATATATCTATATCTGTATATATCTAGATACTTTTAAAAGTATCTGTCCCCAACACTGCATATAATGATAAGATAGAGCAAACACTGACAAGTGACAGCAATTTTTGATCCAAAACTAATGCCAAAAGGTGAGTGGCGTTACTAAGAAAATTTTAAATAGGGGCTACTATTGAATTTGTGGTATAGTGGTTCCGGTGAGAGATTGGGATTTCTTGACACTTGACATATAAGTTATGTTCTTCTGTTCTGTAGGAGTGGGAAAAGGATGTGAAAAAAGTAAGAAAAGGGCCAATCGTATTTTTTAATACTATTTACAATAAAATTTATTTCTTATTTCACGTACCTGACGTGACTTGACCTAATTTATCTATTATCTCAAATAAATAAATTTTAAACATTTCTGCGAATCTACAAGAAAATGTCTTCAACTAATTTTCGAAAATAGTTGAAAACTTGTCCAAAAATGTTAAAACTGCCAAAATCAGTTTTATTTTATCAAATGATAGCCCCGCCCACCTTCCCTCTATTTTGTTGGAAGGTATGTGATTGCCAAAATCAGTCTTATCTGAGCAAGTACTAGGCCCCCTCTTCTCATTTTAACGACTAATTTTATTTCTGTTCAGCATAAGATCATTCAATCAGCGCCAATCGTAACGTTTTTTGTTATAGTTACTATTTGCTATAAAATTTATTTCTTATTTCATGTACTTGACTTGACTTTACTTGACTTGACTTGACTTGACCCAACGGGACCTGACCTGTTCTAATTTTTCTATATCTCAAATAAACAAATTTTAAATATTTCTATGAATTTACAAGAAAATATCTTCAACTAATTTTCAAAAATTGTTAAAAAATGGTCGAAAATCTCAAAAGTGCCAAGATCAGGTAGCTAGTACTTGCTAAGATAAGACTGACTTTAGCAAATCACATACCTTCCAAGAAAATAGAGGGTGGGTGGGCGGGGCTAGTACCTGCTAAGATGAAACTGATTTTGGCAGATGACGTATCCTTTAAGAAAAGAGAGGGTGGGTGGGCGGGCCTTATACCTGCTAAGACTGATTTGACAGATTTTTTAACCTTACAACAAAACAACTGAACCTAACATGACAATTTTCATTTTTCATTAGGGATCTTTGCATTTATCAAATTGGTTGCCAACCAAATTACTAAATTTCCTTGGCCTACCTTCGCCTAAAACAATCCCGAATACAAAACCTAAAGCAGATTTTTTCTAACTTCGAGACGCTATTCCGTGATCAAAATCAAAGCTTACTTACATAATATAATAAACAAAATATCGAAAATAATTTTTATTTTTTATCTCGAAATTTGTCAGTTAAATAGTTGGACAACAAAACTGTTACTCTTTATTTTTTTTCAAATTTTTGATTTGCATTTTCAACCAAATCTCTCATTGCATGGACCATTTTATTCTTTGTTTTTTCTTATTTCTTCTTTAGCTTTTCTGGTATAGATTTTCAGACTAAATTATCATTTTTGCAGTAAATTTTGTTTTGCTGTTGCAGCATGTTGGAAATTGTATTGAGCGATAAGTCGAATTTTTCGTAATTTCTTTTTTCATGACTTCCAAAACATTATCAGTGCAAAATGATTATTCTTTAAATAATAATCTCTCAAATTACAAAATATTTGCTATTTGGAACGCGTTCTTTGAAGCGTAATGTAAAGCACTAGTTTTATATTCTTTTAACGCCACAAATTTTGCACAATTTTCATTGCAATTCTTCTTAGAGACCAAAGCAGCAATACATTTTTTGCAAAAATTTTGATTTTTTATCAAGCTTTTAACAACGTAACCTGTGTAACTGGACAAAGCATTTTTTTTTCTCAAAGAAAGTTCTTTTTTCTTCAAATTCCAATTTCTAGGTAAAGCTAAATTTTCTTTTTCTTTAGGAACATCGTTTTCTTTTCTGTTATTATTTTTAATATAACTCAAAAAACCAACTAAAGGTGTTGTTTTGTCGGTTTCGTAACTTGAGTTATTTGAAACGTCCAAATATTGAGAAATTGATAAAAATTTTAAGTCATATTTAAATTGAATGGCCGTGGGGACCGAATTTGGGAAAATACATTTTCTAAACAATCTTGAGAAAATCTCAATGTTAATAAATATGAGTTTTTTTTTCGTTCAAAAACAAGTTATGCAGGTCTAAAATTGATGTTGTAGTCAGTATAACACCTGTTTGAATAGGCTTCCAAACTGCGTTTCCAAATTTGTCAGGAGCGACTTTTAAGTTTAAAAATAACTTGATGAACTCTTGAAGGAATTATATAGTTTCCCTATAGACAGCCATTTTAAACTTGCTCAAGGCCAAAATAGTTGATCTAGAACTAATCAACTGGAACCACCTATGTACAACATCAGTAAAAACAGCTGTCGTTAGAGAAGATTTGTCTTCTCTCTCCTCTTCCGCATCAAATTTTATTCCACAACTAACATTTCGATTCAAACGTTTAGATAATTTGACAGCTTTATTTTGGCAAAATGGTTAGATTGTAAAAGATCCATATTTAATTTAGACGCAAATTGCAGCTCAAATTTGCCTTCTTCTTCACAAAATTCGTTAATCTGTTGCACGTCAACCAAATCAGAAGTTAGTTTATATTTTTCAACAAAATAATTTGGTAATTGAATGATTTTGTTTTGTAACAAACATTGCTTTATATTTTGTAATAAATGTGGCCCATCTACTAATTTTTTGGTTCGCATTTTCTTCAAGCTTTTATTCCAAAGGTTTTCCACATAGCTTGATTCGTCGATTCCATATCTGAGGTTACAGAATGAACCTTCAAACCAATTGCACTGATTTTCTTAAAAACTTCTTTAAGAACATCAGCTAGAACTGCTCCATTCATACTGTCTCCAGTAAAATAGTATGAAACAATTTGTTTCCAGTGAGTAGTAATACCTCCCACAAGAATTACCAATGCTTTTGTCGCTAATCCCTCATGTTTTGGTAAAGTAATTCCCCCAATATACGCCCCACTATGTACACAATAATCAATCCCAACTTTTATATCCATTTCGTCCAATGCCACCAGACAATCCCTCCCAAAATCCTGATTAAGCGATTCACATTTGATTTTCAAAAACCCTATAATTTCATCCAAAACTCCAGACTTAAACTCTAAATTTTGTAAATGAAAATTCAATGTTCGAATAGCTGAAAATGGTAGTTTCATTTTTCTTAATAAGTTATGTCCACTGGTCCCACATCCAGATTTAAGCTTCAAAGATTTAGTGATTGTTTGTTCGGAACATTTTTTGAATTTTTTCCCTTTTAGAGCTTCAATTTGATCCTTTGTTAATATGTTTGACAAATTTTTCCTTAAATTTGCAGTACACACTTTTTGCAAGTATAATTTTTTGTTACTAATTTTTAACATCCTAACTTTTTTTCTTCTGTAGCGTTAGATAGTCAGGTGGCTGTTTGCACTTTAGCGGTTTAGACGAAACAAATTCAGAATGTTTTTCGACTATTCGTGTTGCTCCACAGGTCAAAAAAAGAAGATTGAGATGATTATTTTATTTCAAATTATGATTTCAGGGCTACAATTTCATTGACACCTGTGACAAGATCTGGGTTTTTCAAAATTGTTACATGGTCACCATCTATCGCAGTTACTTGCGCCAGGTTTTCGCTTATTTGTGACAATTGATAATCATCCTCTTCGTCAACCATGGAATATTTTGCCTTGAACAGATGCACTGACGATTTAATTTTCTCATTTTGAAACGTATAGTTAAGCATAGCTTTGCACCGGTGGTATAGTGCAACACCTGCCTGCTTTTCTAACTTTTGTTTGTTACTTGTTTCGGGGGGTATCAACGCCAAAAACAAATCGATTCGTTCTTCAAAATCTTTAGCTTTCAGTAAAGATTCCTGAAAAAAACGCATACTTACTATAATCGTATAAATAAAAATAATTTGATAAGCAGTTACCTCACATTGTGAAAATAGATCCAATGGAACCACGAAAGCAGAAATTTTGCTCAAAATAGCAGTTTGGAATTGGGCTTCAGTTTCATGCGCGACCTGTTTTTTTAAAGATGAAGTTAAATACGCTGGTGAGCCGTCGATTAAAATCAGAATACCAGTATAGCCCTTCTTTTCTAGCAAACTGATCATTTCTAGAGCGACTAGAGTTCCGAATGAATATCCAATAATGTAAAAGGAGGTGTTCCTGGTTAAATAATGTTTGATGTGCTGAAAATATTATCATAAATAAACTGTAACATACGTATATAAATTCTAACGAACTGGCAATGTATTCCGTGCAAGCTCCTCAATAGAGTCCTCTGAATTTTTATAGTTGTACTGTACTCCTATCACATGTGCTTTCAATGAAGTCGTCAAAAAATCTAGCGGTTGGAAGATACCTTCCACTCCTGGTAACACTAATACGGTTGGAGCTTCTACATCTGGTTCCACTCGACTATTTAATTTAACAACAGACAGATGACTATTTTCGTTATTGGGAATAAACTGAATAAGTAAACTTGTGCCTTCTTCTATTTTTTTGTTTACAACTTCTTCAGACGCTTTCGTTTTCTCTGCCTCCATTTCAGTCAGTCTACAGTTCAACAATAAATTACAACATTTTCGCAATTAGATAATAATTACTTTGCAAATGTTAAACTTCTCACATCTTTGGATGTTACATAGATCCCAAAATCTTTCTCTAAAAGTTGAATAATCTCAGTTCCCATCAGTGAATCCATACCGAGTTCTGCGAACGTCGTATACTGGCTTATAGTTTTCATGTCTTTTATTCCTAAAACATGCGCAACCGCTTCTACTGCACTAACAATGCCACTTTTATCGTGTTTTTTAGCAACCACCATACTAGAAACAACCGGATATTCGTGTTTCAATAACACATCTAATACCTCCACACAACTTGAAATTTTTTGTTGAAGAGTACCACCAATTACTAACTCTTTATTCTCCTTCTGCATTTTCGCCACCAAACCTACCTTTAAAATACTCGCAGTCTTAAGGAATATTTAAAAATGTGTTGAGTACTTCACCGATTGCGCCCCATTGGATAGCTACGGCTGGTAGTCCTCCTCGCTTTCGATTTTCACATATTCTTTCCATAACAGAGTTTGCCATACCGTAGTTGCTCTGGCCCGGATTTCCACGACCACATGATACTGACGAAAATACAACAAAGTGCCTAAAATACATCACCAGAGTCAAATGTTGTCTCTAAGTTGTAAGTAAACCTTAGTTTTGGACACAATTTTCTAGTGACTCGATCCATATATAGGGTAGCGCGTGCTTTAGGTGCCAAGGAAGCTTCGAAATTTGTATGAGTTTGATTTTCAAAGAGTGTGTCTTTGAGGACAACTGCTAAGTTAAAAATAGCATCGACAGGTCCAAGGGTAGTCGCTTCTTTAATTAAATCTTCGCATCCTTGCTCAGTCGTTACGTCTTTTGTAGAAATTTTAACTTCGACACCATAGGTTGTCCAAATGCTAAAATTGCTATTGGTTATGTTTACTGGGTGAAGAGATTATATTTTACTTTATTCTTTGCTGATGGTGACCATTTTGTATACCCGATCTCGAAGTTAGTACTAGTTTTCTTGCGCCTCTCACAATCAACCAGTCGCTTAATTCTAAACCAACTCCGCCTAGTCCTCCAATAACGACGTAGGTGCAACGCACGTCACAGTGGAAACTTAAAAAACATCTTTGATTACATCCAACCGTCTTTATCTCATTATTAACTTACCGTGGATTTGACATAATCTGGAATTTACTGCCACTATCTTCCTCTTCATTCCGCAGCTTGAGCAATATCCTCCCAATATGTTTACCTATCATCATGTATCTGTAAGATTTTTCAACTTCATCTGCCCTGAACACAATCCTGGGAAGTGGTTTTACAAAACCTGCTTCAATTCCCTCCGTTAAACGTTTGACCAGCTTGGGCTTCATTTCTTTAAAGTTTCTAAATACCACATCTAACAATATGCCATGATAGCTGGCTTCTTTTTCCATGAACAAAAGATTTAAAGAACTGTCATTCGCCAAATCGTATTTGCCAATTTCCATAAACTTTCCTCCTCGTGCTAAACACCTAATCGAAGCCTGCAATTTATCCTCACTTAGGGAGTTCAAAATGATGTCAACCCCTTTATTCCGGGTTTCTCTTTTGATCATTTGTTCAAATGAGGTGTCTCGTGAATTCCCGATATGGTTGTCCGGGATTTGTGGATAATTTTCTCTTAAATAAGCTCGTTTTTCCTGAGTGCCTACGGTTACATAGATTTCGCATTTGTAGTAAAGGCAAATGTTCAAGGCAGCTAGTCCGATACCACCAGTGGCGGAGTGAATAAGAACTGAAGAACTTGGTTTCATATCGCCAACCTTAAAAAGACGTTATTAAAGAAATTAAGTTTCTTTGGACGTAGGTACCATTAAAAGAGCATAAATAACAGTGGAATAGACAACAGGAACCGTTGCTGCATCTTCAAGTGTCCATGAGTCTGGTATTTTCCAAACTAAGGAAGAATCGAGAGTAACAGCGGACGAAATACCTTGATTGTTAGTCATAGCAGCTATTCTACGACCACTGTAAATAATGTGTGTAACTTAGTTTTTTCAAATAAAAAATACCACCTTAAATCTTTTCCTGAAAATTCAAACCCTATTAGAAATTCTTGGCCAAGTCGATGTGGATGTATCATTTCGGGATTTACACGCCCAGAAGCCGCCATAATATCTTTAAAGTTAATTGACGAATAATGTGTCTACAAACAGAGATTATTTCCATTGAACTGTGTTTTATGTAACTTACTGAAACCAAAAGTTGTCCTTCGTTTAGTGGTACTTGTTCAGATAAATGTCCCTCTAACCATTCAAAACTGGATATGTCTCCTCTACTTTTAAAATATGCATAAGAATGTTCACAGTTAATCTTCGCCCTCTCTTCCAAAACCAAATGTCGATATGTTCCCCACGATTTGTCCTTATATACGTTTACAGCCAAGTTTTTACTAATTTGTTTGCTATAGAACGGATTTTGGGGATCAAATTCTGGAGCATCGTCCATCATGAAGAAACACTTAACTAAGTGTCCACTGGCTTCACGCCTGATGCAATTTATCAAACCTAATATTCCTTCGGGATTTGTGTTAGTCGCATACGTTATAACATCTGTTCCTAGATTTAACGCGTTTTGTAACTCCGAGATCCAGTTGAAATTACTAGAAGATATTTCAACAAACTTCTGATCAACATTTTCCATTTTTCTTCGCAATAAAATTATTCTTTCGTTTGGTGTTACATAGTCAGTTAGAATATCTGCTTCAGTAATATCTTTTTCCAAATTGAAACCGATATCTTCCCGTGTAAGGATAAATCCGTTTGTGCTAACTGGCGCAAAAATTTGTTTTAAAGCATTTGATTGTTTTAGAATTTTACTGCCAACATATAAAAGTATGTTACTTTGAGGAGTTAACGTAACAGTTTCCAATTTTATTCCAGGTGTCTCATCTATGGTTGTTTCTGACGAAATGGTTAGATCAGGTGTTACTACAGGAATGTGTTCTAAGGCTTTATCGACAAAACCTAAGATATATTTCGCATTTATATCCGTGAATTCGTTGACAATTTCCACAGCTTTGAAATTGCTCTCTAAACTATTTTCTAAGATAATTTGTGTGTTGACTCTCACAGCTTCTTCTAATCCTAACGATAAATTATTTGGGATAAACACGTTCTTTTCTAAAACTAGTTCCAGTGGTGGTTTTTTCTTGAAAATAGATTTTACTTGGACTCCATGTATCTCAATTCCGCCAGACCTAAACACGATGAAATTATTTTTTTAATTGCAATATCAAAGAATAGTTTATTTACTGGATCAAGTTGCAATTCTTGTTCCCATAAACAGGTAGAAGACATTCGTCTGAATCCCGTTGGTTCACAATATCCATGTGTTTTAAGGGGTCTATAATTATTTTCTTAATGGCAACAGGAACGAAAAGCAACCTTGTGTCAGACTGAAGAATTTTCATTTGAAGCATATTATCCATAAAAGCACACCAGTTGTTCTTCCATTTAATCAAACCAACAGAAGCGTCTATAGTGCACCGTTTAATTGATTTGAATAAACCACTAAAAACATCTATGCAACAAATTGTGTCTCACCGTTATCAAACTAACCTGTAATTGTAACCCCTTAGGTAAAATTCTCGATAAATATCGTCTTGTTCCAATACTTCCAGCTTATCGTCATTGAAGGAATTAAATTTTGGTAACATAATTTGCTGCTGGCTTGCATTTGGGCAAATTTGGAGACGACCACTAACTATTAACGAATCTTTCTCTAGAATTTCAAAATTGCCTGTGCCCCTTTGAATCGTTACAAGCAGTTTCACGTAACCACTATTAGGAATTGTAACAGCTCTGATAAATTTACAGTCTTCAAATAAAACGGGAATATCGGTGGTTAATAATCGTCGACTCTGTGCATAGGTTTGCCAAACTAAATTTAAATATTCGGTAGCAGGGAAAAGGTTGCGCCCTAAAAACGTTGTTTATCATGTTACTAGACGACTTTTTTCGATCATTCAGTATATTCTTTAGTGTTAGTTTAAACGTCTTACCATCGATGCAATGGCCTTTGATAAACTGATGTTCCTCGTGTAAGTATGAAATTCTGTATTCTCTCTGATCAGCGTCCGATGATATAAATTCACTGAATTTGTAGGTATACCATGATTTTTCGTGATTCCATCGAATAGAAGGTGAAATCATGGATGTGCCTCTACTTACAGGGAATTCTACTTGTGGATACAGTTTATGAACTTGAAGATGATAACCTTCTGTATATAATCTACAAATTTAATTCATGTTTTTTTGTAAATTTCATTGTTACGAAGTTCTCACCTTCCTAAAAGGTACAATAAATTCAAGCCACCATTTTCTACCAGTAAATTATCTTCATCGCTGAGCCATAGGTCGGATATATTAAGTAATGTGCCTACTGATGCTTTCTTAGAATTTAGGAATGTTGAATAATCCTCGTTTAACATGTTTTTATTTTTTGAATCCATCAAGTTTGATAGTAATTGGAAATTTAAATTAATATCGGAATTTGCTTTACTAAGTTTTACCGCTGTTGACACAGCTTCTTTCAGTTGAATAAAGTTGTTACAGTAAGCAGCAGCGATTTTACCAGAAGCGACACCAAAAACGCGAGTTGGAAACAATTTCAATTCTTTGATAATACCAACCAATATTAACTGCAAACATATTGATCCTAATACCTCTTCGTCGACGTTTGTCTTTGTTTCTAAAATTTCTTTAAACGTTTTTACTTTGTTAAGCACCAAAATTTCATTAACCCTATCGCCAGAAAAATAATCTCTTAGTTAAGGACCCACAAATGAAATCTTAACGTACCTTGTTTCGACGTATTCGAAGATCGAAAACTTCTTTAAGTAAGACGCCAGTATGCGGAAATTATTGACGAATTGTCCGAAAAATACATACAAATGTGGTCTGTGGGAAGGCAATAATTTTGATGACATTGATATAAGACCGCGTTTGGAAACCAGTGCATATCCTCGATGTAAATGATTTGGGTTATTAATTTTATATAACTGATGGAGAAGACCGACGTATTCTTCATCCAAGCTTTTGTTACTAACGTCGTCTAAAATTTTCAAAACTGCTTCATTAGTGCGACCGCTGACACAAATTAATCTAGGAACGTCGTCTTTTGGCAATCCACTATCGATTTTCTGTTTTTTGAACCTTTTTAGTATCACATGACAGTTGTTACCTCCGAAACCAAAGTTGTTAACACCTACAATTGCATCATTTTTTAAAAGCTCAGTGGCTTCTGTCACAATTTTCATTCTATTTTGTTCAATTCCTTCCAGTCCTTTTCGAACTCTTTTCAAGTTGATATTAGGTGGTATAAATCCGGTTTCCATTGCAATCAACACCTTTATAATTGAACACAGACCTGAAACAGGCTCTGTATGACCGATATTTGACTTTACTGAACCCACGAGAAGCTGCTTTTCACAATTTTTGGCCAGAGCCCTGTCTATAGCATTAACTTCTTCAGGATCACCAGCTTGAGTGCCAGTACCATGTGCTTCGACGTAGCTCACTTCTGAAAGTTTAATGCCACTTTCTTTATATATTTCAGTCATAAGCTTTTCTTGTATTTGCGATGAAGGATATGTTATTCCTTCCTTTTTAAAACCGTCGCAGTTCACTTTGGTATTAATAACTTGTGCGTAAATTCGTTTCGCATTTTTAGACTTTTGGAGCAAAATACAAGCACAAGCCTCACTTCTAACGTAACCGTTTGCGTCCTGATCGAATATTTTTGGTATTCCGTCCGGACTTAAAACTCCTAAGCTAAAATGTATTGTTGTGACAAAGAAATTATAATCTTGTATAAATCGGAAATGTACCGAAAAAATTGAATAGTGCCTCCAGGATGGATAGTCAACATACAGCTAGCGACTATTGCGTTTTCACATTCACCACTTCTCATGGATTTGAACGCTGAATGGAGAGCATTTCCAGAACTGCTACAAGCAGTGTCAGCTATGAATGATGGTCCTTTTAGTTTCAAAAAATAGCTGAGGCGATGAGCAATCAAGGATTTAAAATAGCTGAAAGAAACACATTGTTAATAAAAATTAAGTAAAAATGTGTTTATTAATAAAATTTTCTTACCCGGTAGCGGTAAACTTTTGTGGTTCCGTCATACCCATGATAGTAAGATTTTCCACATCTGAACAAGAAAAAGCGATGAACACGCCAGTTTTGCTTCCTTTAAGCTCTAACGGATTGACTCCTGCATCCATAATAGCTTCCATGACCGTTTCCATCAAAACTTTCATGGAAGGGTCTAAATTATCAGCTTGACGATAATGTAGCCCAAAATACCCAGCATCCAGTTTGTCAATATTATTGATGTGAGCACTTCGTTTCGGTACATCTGGATGATTGATTTTCCATCTTTTCTCATTTTCGGTAAACATCTCCTTTTTGTTAAACAGATTATCACGAAACTCGTAGACATTATCACATTCTGGAAAACGACCAGACATGCCAGATATGACCACTTCTTCACCAGTTGGAGGTGAGGACAACCAACGACCATATTGAAAATTAGCGTTAAACAATTCTTTTTCTTGAATTTCGCTTAAGTTCGTCATGATCAACAACGTTAAAAATTTGAAGGCGAACAGACACACACAACATGCACGAAGTGCTGACTGTATGTAAGAAAAAATGTGCATTTATATACAAAGTGCAGCACAATTCAAAACAACAAACTATGAAGGGTATTAAACTATGTTAAGGATTTGGTTAACATTTTAATACGTTGAGGCCAATTTTGTCAACGAACAATACCTACGTATAGCCTAGATGATGTAAATTTTTGACACCACCTTAACCTTAGATAGCTCTTGGTTTTATTTAGAGGTCCTACAATTTTAAAAATCGTCTGCCCGAAAAATCATTAGCTGAAGTGAGACAGCGCGACGGACTTCACAATACAACTTAAATTTTTTATTCGATTAGGTTCAAATTGCATATGTATTGATGCCCTCGTAACTAGATTCCATGCAACGTGTTTAAATTATCTTGGACTTCAGGGCTTTACTTTTTAACATCGGCGACCACGTTTAATTCAAAAGTAATTTTAAATAAAAAAAATGCAATCCCCACAGAAACACAATTGATTCAAAACTACCTAAAAATTTTAGTACACGGGTACTTTCTTATTAAAATACCTCTCTCATAAAATTTTTACTATTTATTCATTTATTTATTTGGAGTACTGAAATATACAAAGTCGCTAGCTCTTAATATTAATGGGTATTTAATTTGCAAATCACCGTGTTACATATACAGGTCCAACTATCTCGATGAATATGCACTTTTGTTTTCACGGAATATCAGGTTACATTCGAAGGAAAATTACGTTCATAAGTTTTCATACATTTCAATCATTCTATATTTTTACTCTTAATATTTAAAGTATTTCTTTAAAAGACAAAGTGGCGAAAATTCACTTATTCTGGCTAAACTTATTTCAATAAATTGTGACGAGCTTGGGAGGTTTTTAAAATTAACTTTTGTTAATTTATCTGATAGGGAACTCTTATCGTGGTCCTTGTGCTCGACATAGAGTGAAAATGTTATTGGACAAAGCGAATACTATATACATTTTACTTAAATGAATAACCAGGTACATATAATTTGGAAATGACTATTTACAAAAGAGATTTAGTTTACAGGAGAATAATTTGCTATAACAATTATAGTATAGTTTAGACATGAAAATATAATTAACAGCAATGAATTTCAGTATTAAATCATTAGAATAAATTCAAGAAAACGTTGTAAGCATAAAACCAAATCATTGAAAGAATAAAAAAAAAACCGTCACGGGGCACAATAGTTACATTGGCACTTTTTTTTTCAAAAATCTTTTTTTTTTCTCTTTTTCTCTCGAATTGTGTATTATCTATGTTTATGACGTCAAAACAATTTCTTATTCATGAAATTACCCCACTTTCTCGTAAAGATGAGAATATGCCCCTCTCTATTTAAAAATGTAAAACCCTCTCGGGGGCGCCAAATGTTTTTTTACTTCCCGAGCGTAAGCAAAGGAAGTATTGTAATCGAGTCCGTCGGCCGACTCTCTACTTTTACGTTTTCTCGATCTTTCATGACCCCTAGAAGACGAAGAAATAGGTCTCCCATTTCCGTCTGTCTGTCCGTCTGTCCGTCTGTCCGTCTGTCCGTCTGTCCGTCTGTCCGTCTGTCCGTCTGTCCGTCTGTCCGTCTGTCCGTCCGTCTGTCCGTCTGTCCGTCTGTTGTCACGGATTTTTATTAGACAGATAATCTCCGAAAGTACTCGACCGATTGTTGTGAAATTTTGTATTTATATTAAGAATATCATGTAGATGGTAAAACGCTAACCAAAATTTGTCTAATCATCCCCACCACTAATGCGATGACGTCACTTCAAAATTGTACATAGTAAATGGGTTTTCAATTGTATAAAATAACATAGTCCTACACATGTAGTTTACAACTCTGAATCGACTTTTCACCCGAAACGTCCAGATTTTTGGAAAAAAAAATCAAAATTATAAAACAACATTTTGAAATTTAATTTTTAATCTGCTAACCAGAATGCTTTGAAATGTTGCAGATGTTTTAAGGCTATAAAGAGCATCATAAATCTTTAGTCAAAAAATATTTGCTTATCCCCTCCAAAAACTTGATGACGTCAGCTCAAAAGTTTGTGGAATAAATCATATCTAAAATGTACAAAATATGATGAGTCTGTACTTGTGAACTATCACTCCATTAATATTTTTTGGATTTGCATATACAGGGTGACTCAAAAAAATTAATGAATGCGTAAATATATTTTATTGATTTAATCAGGAACTACAAAACCGAATGCTCTGAAATCTTGCAGATGTTTTAAGGTCATAAAGAGCATAATAAATGTTTAGTCAAAATATATTTGCTTATCCCCTCCAAAAACTTGATGACGTCAGCTCGAAAGTTTGCCGAATAAATCATATCTAAAATGTACAACATATGATGAGCCTGTACTTGTCATTTATCACTCCATTCATATTTTTTGGATTTGCATATACAGAGTGACTCAAAAAAATTAATGAATGCGTAAATATATTTTATTGATTTAATCAGGAACTACAAAACGGAATGCTCTGACATCTTGCAGATGTTTTAAGGTTATAAAGAGCATAATAAATGTTTAGTCAAAATATATTTGCTTATCCCCTCCAAAAACTTGATGACGTCAGCTCGAAAATTTGCCGAATAAATCATATCTAAAATGTACAAAATATGATCAGTCTGTACTTGTGATCTATCACTCCATTCATATTTTTTGGATTTGCATATACAGGGTGATTCAAGAAAATAAATGAAAGCGTAAATTTATTTTACTGATTTACTCAGGAACTACAAAACCGAATGCTTCGAAATCTTGAAGATATTTTAAAATTATCATAAGCATGGTAAATTTTTGATCAAAATGTATTTGGTCGTCCCCCCTAAAAAATTTATGACGTCACCACAAAATTTTGCTGAATAAATCCTATCTAAAATGTACAAAATATGGTGAGTCTCTTCTTGTGATTTATCATTCCATTCAAATTTTTTCGATTTGCATATACAGGGTGACTCAAAAAAATTAATGAATGCGTAAATTTATTTTATTGATTTAATCAGGAACTACAAAACCGAATGCTTTGAAATCTTGCAGATGTTTTAACGTTATAAAGAGCATAATAAATTTTTAGTCAAAATATATTTGGGTATCCCCTCCAAAAAACTGATGACGTCAGCTCAAAAGTTTGCCGAATAAATCGTATCTAAAATGTACAAAATATGATGAGTCTGTACTTGTGATTTATCATTCCATTCATATTTTTGGATTTGCATATGCAGGGTGACTCAAAAAAATTAATGAAGGCGTGAATTTATTTTATCGATTTAATCAGGAATTACAAAACCGAATGCTTTGAAATCTTGGGAATATTTTAAAGTTATTATAAGCATGGTAAACTTTTGTTCAAAATGTATTTCTTCATCCCTCCTAAAAAAATTGATGACGTCACCCTTAAATTTTGCTGAATAAATCCTATCTAAAATGCAAAAAATATGATGAGTTTGTACTTGTGATTTATCATTCCATTCATATTTTTAGTTCCCGAGCGTAAGCAAAGGAAGTATTGTAATCGAGTCCGTCGGCCGACTCTCTACTTTTACGTTTTCTCGATCTTTCATGACCCCTAGAAGACGAAGAAATAGGTCTCCCATTTCCGTCTGTCTGTCTGTCTGTCCGTCCGTCTGTCCGTCCGTCTGTCCGTCCGTCTGTCCGTCCGTCTGTCCGTCCGTCTGTCCGTCTGTTGTCCCGGATTTTTATTAGACAGATAATCTCCGAAAGTACTCGACCGATTGTTGTGAAATTTTGTACTTATATTAAGAATATCATGTAGATGGTGAAACGCTAACCAAAATTTGTCTAATCATCCCCACCACCAATGCGATGAGGTCACTTCAAAATTGTACATATTAAATGGGTTTTCAATTGTATAAAATAACATAGTCCTACACATGTAGTTTACAACTCTGAATCGACTTTTCACCCGAAACGTCCAGATTTTTGGAAAAAAAATCAAAATTATAAAACAACATTTTGAAATTTAATTTTTAATCTGCTAACCAGAATGCTTTGAAATGTTGCAGATGTTTTAAGGCTATAAAGAGCATCATAAATCTTTAGTCAAAAAATATTTGCTTATCCCCTCCAAAAACTTGATGACGTCAGCTCAAAAGTTTGCGGAATAAATCATATCTAAAATGTACGAAATATGATGAGTCTGTACTTGTGATCTATCACTCCATTCATATTTTTTGGATTTGCATATACAGGGTGACTCAAAAAAATGAATGAATGCGTAAATATAATTTATTGATTTAATCAGCAACTACAAAACCGAATGCTTTGAAATCTTGCAGATGTTTTAAGGTTATAGAGAGCATAATAAATGTTTAGTCAAAATATATTTGCTTATCCCCTCCATAAACTTGATGACGTCAGCTCGAAAGTTTGCCGAATAAATCCTATCTAAAATGTACAAAATATGATCAGTCTGTACTTGTGATCTATCACTCCATTCATATTTTTTGGATTTGCATATACAGGGTGATTCAAGAAAATAAATGAAAGCGTAAATTTATTTTACTGATTTACTCAGGAGCTACAAAACCGAATGCTTTGAAATCTTGAAGATGTTTTAAGGTTATAAAGAGCATAATAAATGTTTAGTCAAAATACATTTGCTTATCCCCTCCAAAAAATTGATGACGTCAGCTCGAAAGTTTGCCGAATAAATCCTATCTAAACTGTACAAAATATGATGAGTCTGTACTTGTGATTTGTCACTCCATTGATTTTTTTTTTTGGATTTGCATATACAGGGTGACTCAAAAAAATTAATGAATGCGTAAATTTATTTTATTGATTTACTCAGGAACTACAAAACCGAATTCTTTGAAATCCACTGCGAAAAAAAAACATAATAGGCATGCAGTCGTCACGTTTCCGACAGCGAGGGAAGTACTGTCTAAACTCTTTAGACCAATTTTTTAGATTTTCTTAAGAGGTGGTTCAAAAAAATTAATGAAGTCAATTTATTTTATTGATTAAATTAAAGGCAACACTTATTATTAGTATTACACCCCAACCAACCCAATTTGGTAGACACAAAATTTGTTAAAGGAAAAACTCGGTTGAAACATAAGGGTAGCACGCTTATTTACATCGACTTTAACATTACAGACCTGCATTTGTTTTATGCGGTCACTTGGTTCCGCGAATGCAAAATAGACATGTTTATAATCAACCAATTGTGAATTTCACCGTCAAGAATTAAAATAAAACCTAATGTTTTGTATAATAAGCAGAAGTCGAAGCAATAAAACCGATGGTCGTGTTGTTTACAGTTTCTCTGTTTGTTAAATTAAGAATGTTTATACATAAACGATTTTCAGTTGCCTCTCATATTACACTGATATTACTAGACAGCGGATTTCTGTCGGGCTACGTCACGATTATAGTTGGGGACGCGCTGGATCGCCGGGACTCAGTAGCGGGTGATAGATAATCACTGAATTTAATCAGTACTAATTCCATAAATATAATTAACGATTTATTAATCAAACGGCTAAGTAAATGAGAGCGGGAATTAACAGCAGAGTGCAACGAAACAGCGTTATTCTAATCTCAAATAAACGAAGTGCAGTCCGTAACTGCAATGAATTCGCACCCCGTACGAGCCGTACCGAGTTTGGCCTTGCCTAACCGGACAGAAATCCGCTCTCTACATATTACACACCGACGTCGTATACGTGAGTAAATTGTTTCGTTATTTTACTGATTATAACAAATCAATATTCAAAACGACCCAATTCATTTTCCCGAAAATTTGGGTATACAATAATTTTATTCTTAGTATTACACTACATCTATCCCAACTGATACACGTGTCCTTGCAAAAATGTTGATGACGTCATCACAATTTTTTTTTAAATTCCCACTACAAAAATGTAATGAGAAAAAACACAATAGGCATGCAGTCGTCAAGTTTCCGACAGCGAGGGAAGTACTTTCTAAACTCTTTAGACCAATTTTTTTAAAAAGGCGAAACCTTCTCGATGGCTCCAAGTGTCTTTGAGTGAATCCTTGTTTTTACTATTATACTCTGACTGAGTACCTTCTATACTGTTTTTACTCTATAGAGGTTATCACGAAAGAGTAAAATTTCGCAAAACAAATTTTATAAATTTTCAGAGAAGCAGTATTTGTTGGAGTGTACTGCAAAAGCGAGGTTAAGTTCTGTCGAAACTACTTTCGGCCAATTATTTGTTATAATAATGCAGTATACTACACGTAACTACAAACCAACCCACAACATCTTGTAGGACACACGTCCATAAAATGTTTTTCCACTATTCGTGTTGCTTCACGGGTCAAAAAAAAAAGAAAGAAGTGACTATTTTATTTCAAGTTATGATTTCAGGGCTACGATTTCATTAACACCTTGCACAAGATCTGGGTTCTTCAAAATTGTTACATGGTCACCATCTATCGCAGTTACTTGCGCTAGTTTTTCGCTTATTTTTGACAATTGATAATCATCCTCTTCGTCAACCATGGAATATTTTGCCTTGAAGAGGTGCACTGACCATTTAATTTTCTCATTTTTGAACGTGTAGTTAAGCATAGATTTGCACCGGTGGTATAGTGCAACACCTGCCTGCTTTTCTAACTTTTGTTTGTTACTTGTTTCGGGGGGTATCAACGCCAAAAGCAAATTGATTCTTTCTTCAAAATCTTTACATTTCAGTAAAGTTTCCTGAAATAAACACATCCCTACTTTAATCGTGTAAATAAAAAAATTATTGAACAACCAGTTACCTCATTCTGAAAAAAAACATCCAACGGAATCACGAAAGCAGAAATTTTTCTTAAAATAGCAGTTTGGAATTGAGCTTCCGTTTCATGAGCGAACTGTTTTTTTAAAAAAGAAGCTAAATAAGCTGGTGAGCCGTCGATTAAAATCAGAATACCGGTATAGCCCTTTTTTTCTAGCAAACTGATCATTTCTAGAGCGACTAGAGTTCCAAATGAATATCCAATAATGTAAAAGGAAGTGTTTCTAGTTAAATAATGTTCGATGTGCTGAAAATATTATCATAAATAAGCTTTAACATACGTATATAAATCTTAACGAACTGGCAGTGTATTCCGTGCAAGTTCTTCAATAGAGTTCTCTGAATGTTTATAATTGTACTGTACTCCTATTACGTGTGCTTTCAATGAAGTCGTCAAAAATTCTAGCGGTTGGAAGATGCCTTCTACTCCTGGTAACAGTAATACGGTTGGAGCTTCCACATCTGGTTCCACTCTACTATTTAATTTAACAACAGGCAGATGAGTATTTTCGTTATTGGGGATACACTGAATAATCAAACTTGTGCCTTCTTCTATTTTTTTGTTTACAACTTCTTCAGACGCTTTCGTTTTCTCTGCCTCCATTTCAGTCAGTCTACAGTTCAACAATAAATTACAACATTTTCGCAATGACATAATAATTACTTTGCAAATGTTAAACTTCTCACATCTTTGGATGTTACGTAGATTCCAAAATCTTTCTCTAAAAGTTGTATAATCTCAGTACCCATTAGTGAATCCATACCGAGTTCTGCAAATGTCGTATACTGGCTTATAGTTTTCATATCTTTTATTCCTAAAACATGCGCAACCGCTTCTACTGCACTAACAATGCCACTTTTATCGTGTTTTTTAGCAACCACCATACTAGAAACAACGGGATATTCGTGTTTCAATAACACATCTAATACCTCCAGACAACTTGAAATTTTTTGTTGAAGAGTACCACCAATTACTAACTCTTTATTCTCCTTCTGCATTTTCGCCACCAAACCAACCTTTAAAATACTCGCAGTCTTAAGGAATATTTAAAAATGGGTTGAGTACTTCACCGATTGCGCCCCATTGGATAGCTACGGCTGGTAGTCCTCCTCGCTTTCGATTTTCACATATTCTTTCCATAACAGAGTTTGCCATACCGTAGTTGCTCTGGCCCGGATTCCCACGACCACATGATACTGACGAAAATACAACAAAGTGCCTAAAATACATCACCAAAGTCAAATGTTGTCTCTAAGTTGTAAGTAAACCTTAGTTTTGGACACAATTTTCTAGTGACTCGATCCAAATATAGGGTAGCGCGTGCTTTAGGTGCCAAGGAAGCTTCGAAATTTGCATGAGTTTGATTTTCAAAGAGTGTGTCTTTAAGGACAACAGCTAAGTTAAAAATAGCATCGACAGGTCCAAGGGTAGTCGCTTCTTTAATTAAATCTTCACATCCTTGCTCAGTCGTTACGTCTTTTATAGAAATTTTAACTTCGACACCGTAGGTTGTCCAAATTCTAAAATTGCTATTGGTTATGTTTACTGGGTGAAGAGATTATATTTTACTTTATTCTTTGCTGATGGTGACCATTTTGTATACCCGATCTCGAAGTTAGTACTAGTTTTCTTGCACCTCTCACAATCAACCAGTCGCTTAATTCTAAACCAACTCCGCCTAGTCCTCCAATAACGACGTAGGTGTAACGCACGTCACAGTGGAAACTTAAAAAAAATGACTGATTATAGACAAAAAATTGTAGATAATGATACCGCATTTACAATATTGAGATATAACATGAACAAAATCATAGTGGGATGAAACCGAAAATATGTGACAAATTATATTACAAATAAATATCTGTTTCTCAAAAAATTTCTAGATTTTTTTCCTTGTTTTCAATCGTCAATTTTTTCTTTCTAATGTCAACTTTTGTAACTTCCCTTCATTCTCTCCTTGCAGCCTTCTGTTTTGCTAACCTCACCTATTCGTGTTACTGCTCTATTTTCATTCATTCCTTCTGAATGTTCCATTTTAGCCACACATCTTTGATTGCATCGAATCGTACTTTATCTCATTATTAACTTACCGTGGATTTGACATTATCTGGAATTTACTGACACTCTGTTCTTCTTCATTCCGCAGCTTGATCAATATCCTCCCAATATGTTTACCTGTCATCATGTATCTGTAAGATTTTTCAACTTCATCTGCCCTGAACACAATCCTGGGAAGTGGTTTTACAAAACCTGCTTCAATTCCCTCCGTTAAACGTTTGACCAGCTTGGGCTTCATTTCTTTAAAGTTTCTAAATACCACATCTAACAATATGCCATGATAGCTGGCTTCTTTTTCCATGAACAAAAGATTTAAAGAACTGTCATTCGCCAAATCGTATTTGCCAATTTCCATAAACTTTCCTCCTCGTGCTAAACACCTAATCGAAGCCTGCAATTTATCCTCACTTAGGGAGTTCAAAATGATGTCAACCCCTTTATTCCGGGTTTTTCTTTTAATCATTTGTTCAAATGAGGTGTCTCGTGAATTCCCGATATGGTTGTCCGGGATTTGTGGATAATTTTCTCTTAAATAAGCTCGTTTTTCTTGAGTGCCTACGGTTACATAAATTTCACATTTGTAGTGAAGGCAGATGTTCAAGGCAGCTAGTCCAATACCACCAGTGGCGGAGTGAATAAGAACTGAGGAATTTGGTTTCATATCGCCAACCTTAAAAAGACGTTATTAGAGAAATTAAGTTTCTTCGGACGTAGGTACCATTAAAAGAGCATAAATAACAGTGGAATAGACAACAGGAACCGTTGCTGCATCTTCAAGTGTCCATGAGTCTGGTATTTTCCAAACTAAGGAAGAGTCGAAAGTAACATAGGACGAAATACCTTGATCGTTAGTCATTCCAGCTATTCTACGACCACTGTAAATCAAGTGTGTAACTTTGTTGATTTTTCCAATAAATAGTACCACCTTAAATCTTTTCCTGAAAATTCAAACCCTATTAGAAATTCTTGCTCCAGTCGATGAGGTTGTAATATTTCGGGATTTACACGTCCAGAAGCGGCCATAATATCTTTAAAGTTAACTGACGAATAATATGTCTACAAACAGAGATCATTTCCATAGAACTGTGTTTTATGTAACTTACTGAAACCAAAAGTTGTCCTTCTTTTAGTGGTACTTGTTCAGATAAATGTCCCTCCAACCATTCGAAACTGGATATGTCCCCTCTACTTTTAAAATATGCATAAGAATGTTCACAGTTAATCTTCGCCCTCTCTTCCAAAACCAAATGTCGATATGTTCCCCACGATTTGTCCTTATATACGTTTACAGCCAAATTTTTACTAATTTGTTTACTATAGAACGGATGTTGGGGATCAAATTCCGGAGCATCGTCCATCATGAAGAAACACTTGACTAAGTTTCCATTGGTTTCTCGCCTGATGCAATTTATCAAACCTAATATTCCTTCGGGATTTGTGTTAGTCGCATACACTATAACATCTCGTCCGACATTTAATGCGTTTTGTACCTCTGAAATCCAGTTGAAATTACTAGAAGATATTTCGATAAACTTCTGATTGACATTTTCCATTTTTCTTCGCAATAAAATGAGTCTTTCGATTGGTGTTACATAGTCAGTTAGAATATCTGCTTCAGGAATATCTTTTTCCAAATTGAAACCGATATCTTCCCGCGTTAGGATAAATCCGTTTCTGCTAACAGGCGCAAAAATTTGTCTTAAAGTATTTGATTGTTCTAGAATTTTACTGCCAATATATAAAAGTATGTTACTTTGAGGAGTTAACGTAACAGTTTCCAATTTTATTCCAGATGTCTCATCTATGGTTGTTTCTGACGAAATGGTTAGATCAGGTGTTACTACAGGAATGTGTTCTAATGCTTTATCGACAAAACCTAAGATGTGTTCAGCATTTATATCCGTGAATTCGTTGACGATTTCCACAGCTTTGAAATTGCTCTCTAAACTATTTTCTAAGATAATTTGCGTATTGACTCTCACGGCTTCTTCTAATTCTAACGATAAATTATTTGGAATAAACACGTTCTTTTCTAAAACTGGGTCCAGTGGTGGTTTTTTCTTGAAAATAGATTTTACTTGGACTCCATGTATTTCAATTCCACCGGACCTAGACAAGATAAAATTATTTTTTTAATGTAATTTATTAGTAAATAGTTTATTTACTGGATCAAGTTGCAATTCTTATTCCCATAGACAGGTAGAAGACATTCTTCTGAATCCTGTTTGTTCACAATATCCATGTGTTTTAAGGGGTCTATAATTATTTTCTTAATGGCAATAGGAACGAAAAGCAACCTTGTGTCAGACTGAAGAATTTTCATTTGAAGCATATTATCCATAAAAGCACACCAGTTGTTCTCCCATTTAATCAAACCAACAGAAGCGTCTACAGTGCATCGTTTAATTGATTTGAATAAACCACTAAAAACGTCTATGCAACAAATTGTGTCTCACCGTTATCAAACTAACCTGTAATTGTAACCCCTTAGGTAAAATTCTCGATAAATATCGTCTTGTTCCAAGATTTCCAATTTATCGTCACTGAACGAATTAAACTCTGGTAACATAATTTGCTGCTGGCTTGCATTTGGGCAAATTTGGAGACGACCACTAACTATTAACGAATCTTTCTCTAGAATTTCAAAATTGCCTGTGCCCCTTTGAATCGTTACAAGCAGTTTCACGTAACCACTATTAGGAATTGTAACAGCTCTGATAAATTTACAGTTTTCAAATAATACCGGAATATCGGTGGTTAATAATCGTCGACTCTGTGCATAAGTTTGCCAAACTAAATTTAAATATTCGGTAGCAGGGAAAAGGTTGCGCCCTAAAAATGTTGTTTGTCATGTTAATACCACATGATCGAACAAAAATTTATTAATATATTTTTACTTTCAACGAAAATTTTCAAAAACTCGGAAAGCAGGCAGTGACAGATTACAAAAGAACGAACAACTCAAAACTTAGAACAGTTGGAGGAACGTATGATTCGTTCACCCAAAACTACTATCCGTAACGTTTCACAGCAAACACAAATACCGTTTGAAATTACTAGACGACTTTTTTCGATCATTTAGTATATTTTTTAGTATTACCATCGATGCAATGGCCTTTCATAAACTGTTGTTCCTCGTGTAAGTATGAAATTCTGTATTCTCTCTGGTCCGCGTCCGATGATGTAAATTCACTAAATTTATAGGTATACCATGATTTTTCGTGATTCCATCGAATAGAAGGTGAAATCATGGAGGTGCTTCTACTTACAGGGAATTCTACTTGAGGATACAGTTTATGAACTTGAAAATGATAACCTTCTGTATATAATCTACAGATTTAATTCATGTTCTTTAAATTTCATTGCTACCAAATTCTTACCTTCCTAACAGACACAGTAAGTTCAAGCCATCATTTTCTACCACTAAGTTATCTTCATCATTCAGTCGTAGATCGGATATATTAAGTATTGTTGTGCCTTTCGATACTTTCATAGAATTTAGGAATGCTGAATAATCCTCGTTTAATATGTTTTTATCTTTTGAATTCATCAAGTTTGATAGTGTTTGGAAATTTAAATTAATATCGGAATTTACTTTACCAAGTTTTACCGCTGTTGACACAGCCTCTTTCAGTTGAATAACGTTGTAATAGTAAGCAGCAACGATTTTCCCGGAAGCGTCACCGAAAACGCCAGTAGGAAACAATTTCAACTCTTTGATAATATCAACCAATATTAACTGCAAACATATTGACCCTAATGCGTCTTCATCAACGTTTGTCTTTGTTTGTAAAATTTCTTGAAACGTTTTTACTTTGTTGAGTACCAAAATTTGATTAACCCTTTCAACAGAAAAATAATATCTTAGTTAAGCACCCACAAATGAGATCTTAACGTACCTTGTTTCGACGTATTCGAAGATCGAAAACTTCTTTAAGTAAGACGCCAGTATGCGAAAATTATTGACGAATTGTCCAAAAAATACATAGAAATGTGGTCTGTGGGAAGGCAATAGTTTGGATGACATCGATACAACTCCACGTTTGGAAACTACAGCATATCCTCGATATAAATGACTTGGGTTATTAATTTTATATAACTGATGGAGAAGACCCACGTATTCTTCATCCAAGCTTTTGTTACTAACGTCTTCTAAAATTTTTAAAACTGCTTCATTAGTGCGACCACTAACACAAATTAATCTAGGAACGTCATCTTTTGGCAATCCACCATCGATTTTCTGTTTTTTAAACCTTTTTAGTATTACGTGACAGTTGTTACCTCCGAAACCAAAGTTGTTAACACCTACAATTGCATCATTTTTTAAAAGCTCTGTGGCTTCTGTCACAATTTTCATTCTATTTTGTTCAATTCCTTCCAGTCCTTTTCGAACTCTTTTCAAGTTGATGTTAGGTGGTATAAATCCGGTTTCCATTGCAATCAACACTTTTACGATTGAACACAGACCAGAAACAGGCTCTGTATGACCGATATTTGACTTTACTGAACCCACGAGAAGCTGCTTTTCACAATTTTTGGCCAGAGCCCTGTCTATAGCATTAACTTCTTCAGGATCACCAGCTTGAGTGCCAGTACCATGTGCTTCGACGTAGCTCACTTCTGAAAGTTTAATGCCACTTTCTTTATATATTTCAGTCATAAGCTTTTCTTGTATTTGCGATGAAGGATATGTTATTCCTTCCTTTTTAAAACCGTCGCAGTTCACTTTGGTATTAATAACTTGTGCGTAAATTCGTTTCGCATTTTTAGACTTTTGGAGCAAAATACAAGCGCAAGCCTCACTTCTAACGTAACCGTTTGCGTCCTGATCGAATATTTTTGGTATTCCGTCCGGACTTAAAACTCCTAAGCTAAAATGTATTGTTGTGACAAAGAAATTATAATCTTGTATAAATCGGAAATGTACCGAAAAAATTGAATTGTGCCTCCAGGATGGATGGTTAAATTACAGCTAGCGACTATTGCATTTTCACATTGACCACTTCTCATGGATTTAAACGCTGCATGGAGAGTATTCCCAGAACTACTACAAGCAGAGTCAGCTGTGAATGACGGTCCCTTTAGTTTCAAATAATAGCTGAGGCGATGAGCCAACAAAGATTTAAAATAGCTGAAAGAAATACATTGTTGTTAAAAATTAAGCATATTAAATATTATCTAAATAGCTTTGCACGCACTGCGTTTATTAACGTTTCTCAAGAAAAATTGAGCTGAAATTTGTTCATAAAATTTTCTTACCCGGTAACGGTAAATTTTTGAGGTTCCGTCATACCCATGATAGTAAGATTTTCCAAATCTGAACAACAAAAAGCGATGAACACGCCAGTTTTGCTTCCTTGAAGCTCTAACGGATTTACTGCAGCATCCATTATAGATTCCATTACCGTTTCCATCAAAACTTTCATGGAAGGGTCTAAATTATCAGCTTGACGATAATGTAGCCCAAAATACCCAGCATCCAGTTTGTCAATATTATTGATGTGAGCACTTCGTTTCGGTACATCTGGATGATTGATTTTCCATCTTTTCTCATTTTCAGTAAACATCTCCTTTTTGTTAAACAGATTATCACGAAACTCGTAGACATTATCACATTCTGGGAAACGACCAGATATGCCAGATATGACCACTTCTTCACCGGTCGGAGGTGAGGACAACCAACGACCATATTGAAAGTTAGCATTAAACAATTCTTTTTCTTGAATTTCGTTTAGGTTCGTCATGATCTTTCCAACAACGTTAAAAATTTGAAGGCGAACAGACACACACAACATGCACGTAGTGCTGTCTAATATATAAAGTGCAGCGGAATGAGGGGAGTTACAGTGTATTATAGTACAATGTTAATGCATTCCAGTGGGCCAAACAATTCAAAACAACAAACTATGAAGGGCACCTGTTTATATATATAAACTATGTTAAGAATTTGGTTAACATTTTAATATATAGGGGCCAATTTTGTCAACGAACGATACCTATGTATACCTTACATAATGTAAATTAATAACACCACCTTAAACTTGTATTTATACAACTCTTTGTTGTATTTAGAGTTCCTATTTAAGATATAGACGCAAAAATCATGGAACCACTATTTTCTACAATTTTAAAAATTGTCTGCGCAGGGAAACTTGAATTTAAACAACTTATTCGACTTAAATTTTTTATTCGATTAGGTTCAAATTGCATATGTAATGATGTCCTCGTAACTAGATTTCATACAACGTTATTAAATTACCTTGGACTTCAGGACATTACTTTTTAACATCAGCGACCAAGTTTAATTAAAAATTAATTTTAAATACAAAAAATGCAATCCCCACAGAAACAAAATTGATTCAAAACTACCTAAAAATTTTAATACACAGGCACTTTCTTATTAAAATACCTATCTCATCAAATTTTAATTTATTTATTCAAAAGTACTGAAATACACAAAGTCGCTAGCTAGTAATATTAATGGGTATTTAATTTGCAAATCACCGTGTTACATATACAAAACATAGGTAATTGTCCAACTATCTTGATGAATATGCACTTTTGTTTTCACGGAATATCGGGTTACATTCGAAGAAAATTAAGTTCATAAGTTTCATAACATCAACACAGCAAACAAATATGCTCTGCTGGTGGACGCTAATCATCCTGTATTTAAAGTATTACTTTAAAAGATAAAAACAATAAAAGTACAATGAAAACAACGAATCTAACATTGTAAAGCGTTGGCGATGTCATCTCTGCGTATTTTTTTGTTTCATTGTTTGTAAATTCACAGTTCATGGTGATACATTTTGTTGTGCCTGCTTCTAAAACAATGTAACTGCAATCACGTCAATGTCAATATAAAACACGTGGCGGAAATTCACCTGTTCAGGCTAAACTTATTTTAATAAACTGTGACGACCTTGGGACATTTTTAAAGTTAACTTTTGTTAATTTATCACCTGACCAAATTCCAATGCAACACAAAATACATATCTCATATATGTAATTCTTTTTATATTTTATTTTTCTAAAATGTACAAACATAGTTACCTAGTGGTTACCTAATTTTGACCTTCGCTATAATTCTATTTCTCAATTTTGAGCTCCGATAAGTTTTTAGTCTTCGCGATAAAATGAGAGGGATAAATACACGAACGATGAAAAGGTTGATATGATTTTGATTTTTGGAGAATGCGGAAAAAATGCCGTTGCAGTAGCAAATCTCCACGAAAGAAGATATCCCGACAGGCGACATCCATCTGACCAAATCTTTAGATGTTCAGAGAAAACGTTGAGACAAAATTGTCCAAAAAAACAAGAAATAAAGGACTTATCGCCACTGGTGTCGAAAATGAAATTCGTGTAATTGAAGTGGTAGACAATGACCCGCATGTGAGCCAAAGATTTATAACACGACAGGTAGGAGTATCACAAACTTCCACTTCAAAAATTTTGAGAGCGAATACGTTCCACCCTTACCATGTGACATTAGTACAATATCTAAAAAAAGAAGACTTTCCCAGAAGAATACAATTTTGCAATTTTATGCAACATCAACCAGAGTTGGACAACAATTTTTTATTCAAAGTTTTGTTCAGCGATGAAGCAAGTTTTGGCAATAGTGGAGTTGTTAATTGGCACAACTGTCACTATTACTTCCAAAATAACCCACACTGGATCAGAACAACTCATTCAAAACGTTTATTCCATAAATGTGTGGGCTGGTATTATTGCAGATTACGTAACTGGCCCACACTTCTTCGAAGGCGACTTAACACGACACAGGTATCGACAATTTTTGGAAAATGAGTTTCCGGGGTTATTAGAAAATGTTCCACTCAATCTCCGACAAGAGCTATGGTTTCAGCCGGATGGGGCACCACCTCATTATCACAGAGTCGTCAGAGACTATCTTGATGAGACGTTTGCAAATAAGTGAATTGGCAGAGGCAGTGTGAATGCGTGGCCCTCTCGTAGTCCCGACTTAACACCTTTAGATTTCTTTCTCTGGGGGGTTGTACAAGAACAAGTTTTAACCAAAGTCCTATTCGGAATTGTGAAGATTTAAAAACCAGTTGTGTTGCATTGAAAATTGGTCAGAGTCCCATTATTATAATACTCACCCTGTATAATGAAATTCAACATAATTTCTTTCTGTATTCATAATTTTAAGAAACTAATAACTAATTTCAAAATTTATGGATTTATTATTATTATTATTATTATTATTATTATTATTTAATTAAATTGCCCAACGAAGAAAATTCCATTTACAGGGCAGGTTAGAAGTAATGAATATTAACAAACAAGAAAATTGGTGAAAGAATTCAATGTAACTAACACAGCAAGAAATGTTCACGAATCCTATTGAAGGAATTTAATCTAAAAATATCTACAGCGTGTTCAATATTTTCGTAATTTGTAATCATTCGATAGATAGGAGAGTTTGATAGAATGTTCGTTTTGAACTTTGGTATAAAGAAAATATTATGAAGCCTTTTATTTAATGCTGGAACTGCAAAGTTTATATTATTTAGTAGCTCTGGACTATCGATTAGGTAGTAAATTAATTTAAATAAGAATATTACAGAAAAATATGATCGCTTGCAAGACAGAAATGGGAGGTTTATACGTTAGTCACTACAAAGAGGATCAGAGAAAGAACTCGAGAAATACTTCGCAAAACCGTTAGCTATCTTCTGAGGGCTATCTAAACTAGAGGACCCATAACTCATAACACTTGGTAAACCACCAGACCGGGAGATTTTGTTCATATATGAAAACAGCTTTTTTAGATTCGTTTTTATATTATCCTTAATTACTTGTAGGTAATTGGAATAGGCAGCTCGTATCTTCCTTTTCAATTCAGACCGTAGTTGTTTAAATTTATTGCCGTATTCTTCGTCACCAGTGGCTTTTTACCTTTTCCACAATTTATACTTTTGTTTAAGACGCAAAATGATGTTTTTATTGTACCATTCAGGAAAAGCTCCCATAGAGTTATTTTTATAGGGAATATGTTGTGCAAAGTTTATCATTAGTTGGTCGTAGAAAATATTGACGATGTCATAGCTGTCCAAAACCGTATTTAAAAAGTCCCAATCTACCTTCAATAAAGCAGCATAAAGACCCACAAAATTGGCCTTTTTAAAGTTAAACTCTTTTAGGTTTGTGGCGCAGGATTTTATAGTTTTTGATGTTTCAAAACTAATTCCAATTTCTAACGCAGGGTGATGTTTGTCCTCCAAGATTATTTCACTATCTTTGCAAACTGAAGGAAATTTATTACTAAACACCAAGTCGAGAAGTCTACCCATTGAATTTGTAATAAGATTAAATTGTTTTAATTCAAAATAGTTAATCAAGTTATTAATAATATCAAACTTTGCGGAGTGTGTATTACATTCTTCACAATTAAGAAATTCCGAGATATTAAAGTCATCAATAACTATAAGATCAGACCCATATATGCAATTCAATGACATGAGTATATCAGAGAACACAGCAAAATCATCACAGGTACTGTTCGGTGGTATATACACAGTAAGTATATATATATAATTCGATGTTCAAAAAATACCTTAACACGAAGTAGATCAATATGAGGAATATCACCGAGATTATCAGTAATTAAATCTAGTTCAATTTTTATGCCCGTTAATATTTTAGATCTTAGTGCTAGTAACACACCACCACCTCTTTTCTCAGTTGAACGATCACTTCGGAAGACACTGAAATTAGATAGATCAAAAAGTTCACCATTCATTATATTGTCATTAAGCCATGTTTCAGACAAAGCTAATATATCATAAAAGACAGATTGAGAAGCTAGCAAGATTTGACTGGTTTTGGTACCAAGTCCACGTACATTCTGATAATACATCGTAAGAGAGCATTTTCTAACACAAGGTAAATTATTATTGGTACTACAACGAGTTGATTGCTATTGCGAATTTAAAATAATGTTTTTGAAGTTGTCTACATGGGTTTTATACACAACACATTTGTTAATTTCCCAAGTCGCATGATTTGAGTCTACATTGGAATTAGTTTGTTGGCAAAATGATGGAAACCACAACAATTGTAACATCGACGCACATCTATACCATCCCAAATTTTGCAATATTTATATCCAATCAGCACTTTTTGCGCTTTCAACAATTTATTATAGGACTCTAAGGCAGTTTGAACAACAGCCTGATATAATTTACTATTTGTATTACGCATAGCTCTAAAACTAATTACTTTATGGTTCTGATTACTATTGAATAATAATTGATTCTGATGTACAAGACACCTCGAAAACATCTCAGAATTAATCTCCTTGGGAATTCCTGAAACTCTTACTCTGGGACAAAGACTAGGCAATTGTTCAGCATTATAATTCTCATGAAGTTCACTATTTACCAAATCAATGATTTTCTTTGTGTCCTCACTTTTTTCACAGTTGATAATGGCACCTCCGTTTAATATACTGGCCCCGCATGCGGGGCGTATCAGATATTAAGCTGATAAGAACAGAAGAAACTTTATTCAGAAAATTTTTTTACAAAGTAAGAAGAGACGCTGTATATATATAAATGTGTAAAAAAATAAAATGTAAAAGTATATATATCAAAGAAAATATGTAAAAGAAAGAAAAGAAAGAAATTAATCAGGCTTCCTCCGCATCTGGTCCTGGCGCCTTGTATTGCCGGACCCCCGTCACGTGTTTGAGGTAAATGTCCCGGCTCCACTTGATGGCGTCCGAACACATCAATTTCCGCATTAGGCCAGAGTATTTACAACTAATTCCTAAG